GAAGATGGAGGCCTAGAGGAAGAAGAAGAAGGAGAAGGGCACGCCCCAATTCCTCCATCTTACCTCTCTAGACCCCCCTGTACAGGGATCTTAAACCCTGTATCTCACACTCCAATTAACTTGTCCCTTCACCATTCACCCCAGTGAAATCCTCCCGTCCTCATACTGATGTCATCTCCCATGTGGGATCAAAGTCCAGCCACCAGACATTTCTGGCAACATTCCAGGACTCCCGAGCCCCCCAGTTCTGAGAGACTGAGATCCCACAACATAGTTCTGCAGAAAAGACTTTATACAAAGTTGCTTTGAGAGACATCAACAGAAGAACAGTCAAGGACATGTCATCACCATTACGGCTGACAGATAGAGTCCTGGGCTGAAACTGTGTCGAAGACCCAGAAAAGCAGATTAGGCAGAGATTATCAAATTCCAGAACCTCACAGTGCTCCATTAACAATCCCTGTGTACCTGTCTAATGGATGTCAATAACCAGCTTTTGGCCCTTTGTAGCATTCACATTCTCTGAACATGAGTCCTTTGCCCAGGGTTTTTTCTCCTGGAAAGCTGAAAGGCAGAGAGAGGCATCAGAGACAAGAAAAACAATTCTTATCTCATTTGCTTCTCCTGTGTTGTGGTCATGTGGAATGTGTTTGGAGATTTTTTACCCAAGGTGATTTCTTGACTGGACTCTGGTGTGAGCTGTTTTCACTCATGGGCCAATTAGGGCCAAGCTGTGTCGGGACTCTGGAAAGAGTCATGAGTTTCCATTATTATCTTTTTAGCATTCAGTATCTTTTCTGTATTCTTTAGTATAGTATAGTATAGTATAGTATAGTATTCTTTAATATAATATAATAAAGTAATAAATTAGCTTTCTGATAAGATGGAGTCCTCCTCATCATTCTCTCCCCTTGCCAGGGTTGCCTGAATTTACAATACCCCTTTACTCCCAGTTCTGTCTGCAAGGTCACAGACCCCCCAAGAAGCAGCTCCTCCAGCAGAATCACTGCAGGGGGATGCAGGCACATCCCCTGTGGCATTTTGGATTGGCCTCCTAAAGCAGAGGCTCACGTGGCTAAAAGTATTTGAGCTGCCTGTGACACTGGGGCCACCACAAGGCTCAGCCACAGCTGTCAGCACCTACAGGAGAGCCCAGGGAAGCTGTGGAATTGTGATTAGTTTCTGCTGTAAGAAGGGTTTTTTGCTGATACTACTACCAGGGCAGCAAGTGGGAAATGAGGGATTGGGGCAAAGACTCTTAGCACTGGATAAGAGTATAATGTAGTAGAAAACAAGATGTTGTGTAATGCACAATGCTCAGCTTTCATGCCCCTATCAAGAGAAAAATGTTGATAAACTGGCAATTAGCTCTGAGAAGAGTCAAAAAATTACTGAAGCAGATTCTATACTGCAAGACTCCAGGGTTCCATCTAAGTATTTCAGGAAGGATAAATACATATGCAACTATTACAATATTGTTTGTGTAACTGGCAGGATATGGCCAAAATTTTAAGAAACAGCATAAAATTAAAACTAAGGGATACATCTGAGCAGTTCAAGAAAGTTTTCCATTGATTCTGTAATGCAGGCACAATTCCACAATTCTAAATTATAATCACAAAATTTTAAGGAAGATGTGCACAACTTCAAATAGTTAGCAAGTTTTAAAGACCTCATTAAGCAGGGCTGCTGGGTTTTGTTCTTAATGTCCCTTTCTTTTTTTACATTTTTTTATCTACAAATTGCTGTCTCCTGATGAAATTTAGCTCCATGCCTCCACCCAGTGGGCTTTTCTTAACCATGAACAAAAAGAGACCCTAAAAGTGCATGCACACACTGTGCAGCACCAGCAGCAACATTGGTCATGTGAATTATTTCTTTCCATCTTTTCTGTAGAGTGGATCAGCTGAAATGTAGACAGGTATTTGATATTACCTTCTGCAGCTAAATAACCACAAATGTGAGATCTTTAAAGACATTTTAATATTGCTTCTATCATATGTTTGCCATTGCTATAGAAACAGTAATTGGGAAGCATCCAAATCCAATTGTCACTAGACAAAAACTTAAATCTCAGAGCGGGGTTTTTTTTTTTAATCTAAAAATCTGAAATTAGTTTTAATTTTTAAAATAAATGAGAAGCAGATTACAACACTGGCTTGTGATTATAAATAAGCCTTTACTTTGTAGTACTTCTTCTCCATACGTAAACTAAGGAAAAGTATTTTCTATATTTTTTTTCTTTCCAAATGAGATTATTTATTGACTTGCAATGGAACCTCTGCCTTAAACTGGAAGAACTATCCTGGATAAATAACCTAAAGAGCTTATAACAAAATTAGTTCTGTATGTCAACTTCTTGGTTAAATTACGTATGGTATTTCAGATATATGCACTGGTTTTGTAAAACTGTGGTTCATATAAACTGAATATTGTTTACACTAAGAAACACATGGTCGTTACCAGTACTCCAATTGTCTTTTCTTTCCATTCCTTTCTTTTCTGTCAGGCCTCCTACTAAACTATGGTGTGTTACTATACATTAAAAAATATAAACTTAAGAGGAAGTGCACATTTAATATATCAAAGAAGAAAACACAGTTTAGGGAAACGCCTTTATGCCAAGCCATGAAGAAAAACAAGATCCCTTCCTTCATTCCAGACTGAGAAATAAAAAATACACTTTTATGATCCCCCACCACTTTAATGACATCTTCCTTACTTCTAATTCCAAATCCATTCCAGAATAAACCTCTTTCCCATGCAATAGCTCTACTACTCTCTGCAAAGATCTGTTTACAATTTACTAACACTACCATAGAACTGAAACTAAAAGACAATGAAACTAAAAGATAATGAAAAGCTTTTCAGCCTGTAATTAATCTGCAGCTGTTAACAGATAAGAAAATCTCCAATCTTCAGTACAAATTAGATTTTGGTGGAGTAGGCATAATAGCCCAAACATATTAGATAATGATTCAAACTGCAAAGAAGTCATACACTAATCTTCTGCTCTTACATTGCTCATACCATAGGTCAAAGAATCATTTCTCTATCAAGTGCATCATTTTCTAGGAGACTGCACTGTTTTGAGAGATACCTAATACAAACTGACAGACAAAGATGCTTTGAGCTATTCCTGCTTTTGGGGGGTGGGGGGGGGGAGTGTATTGTTTTTTTTGTTTCATAATGTTGTGGATTTTTTACAGCTGCTAAAGGTCTGAGAGAGCTTAATTTCACATTTGCCAGATGACATTCTAGGGAAATGGAAAGAGTCCTATCTACACATTACAGTTTCAAGTTAAGTTCACTTCTGATCTGTTTTTTCCCCTTTCCTTGGTTTTCAGTTACAAGCTTTTCCTTCAATAGTAAATATCCAAACTTCACCATACCCATGTTTTTGGTTTGTGAACCCAAATCCAAGGAAGGTAACTATCTTTTTTAAAAGTGTTTACAATACAACCCAAGAATCTTCAGAAAGTTAAAAATATTTTAAAATTGTCTTAGTGCCAAAATTATTACTATATTTTACTTTTGTAGAATACCTGTGCCTTTCAGAATCAAGGAATTTGGAAAACACTATTCATTTGGATTTTATACAGAGAATGAAATGTAGGTCCATCTTCGAATCAAAATCCTTAGGCTTTCTTCAGTTGTGAGGGCTGAAGGTATGAACAATATTCAGAATTTACTTGGAATTTAAAACTTGTGTGAAAAATTGCTTTCAGTGTAGAATTATTTCCTAATATCCAGTCTAAACCTGCCTGGTGCAACTTGAGGCATGATTTCCTCTTGTCCTGTCACTTGGTACCTGTCACTGGGAGAAGAGGCTGACCTCCCTCTGGTCCAGCCTCCTCTCAGGCAGTCTTGGAGAGGGATATGGTCTCTCCTGAAAGAGTGTCCAAGGTCTTGCTAAAGTTGAGGTAGTTAACATCCACACTTTCCCTTATCCACTAAGCACATCACCTTAACACAGAGTGAGATGAGGCTGGTCAAGCAGCACCTGCTTCTCATACTCCCATGCTGGCTGGGCCTTATCTCCTGCTTGTCCTGCACCTGATGCGTGATGGCAGTCAGGGCGATCTGCTCCATGACCTTCCCTGACACTGAGGTCAAACTCTGAGACCTGTAGTTCCTCAGATCCTCTTCTGGTTCTTCTTGTAAAAAAAAAAAAAAAAAAAGGAAAAAAGAAAACTACTCTGCCAGAAATTAATAAGGCTTAGGCTGCAACTTCAGGGAAAAAACTAAACTAACAAGCCGTCAGAGAAACAATAAGGTAGCTTTTTATTTTTCATTTTTGTTTCTCTTTCTTGATGTTAATCACATAAAGTAAGTGCTTAAGCCCGCCCCACTGACTGACAGTGCAGCCCATTCCTAGGAGTGCTTCTTCTGAACACATACAGCCAGTAAGGGTGTAGGCTGGAAGAGCTGCCCTGCCCCCACTCACGCAGTGAAGATTGGACAACTTCCTCTAATCCAAAGTATGATGCAGAAGTGGAAGGTGTTCCTGTGTATGTTGTTAACTGTGTTTAGTACTCTGTCTGCATTCCCAAAGAAAATATTTGTTAGACACAAAACATTTGTAAGTTTTGGCATGATTTATTGCTCCTGGTACAAAGGCAATTTATCAGCGTACCTCCAATGCCTTCGGAGCAGATCACTGTATGGATCAAGGAGCAGCAGCTCAAACACTTCAACATTCAGCAACTGAAATTACCACAAAATGATATCTATATAGCAAAGACTGGTTTTAAAATAACATTGACAACAGTAATCACTGCCACCTGGACTACAAGACACCGTTTTAAAATATGAAGTGATCATAACATACTGCCTGAAAATCAGACCAGTGTTTACAGGTACGTACGTGAAGATATGGGTGTGTGAATTATATCCACAAAGTGGGATCCTCAACTACACTTTCTCAACTGACAAATGTTGTGTTTTCCCAACTGGGTTTATGGCAAGATATTAAAAAAGACACAAATGTAGAGAAAACCTCTCTTTTCAGGAAAATACATAAATCCAGTCTTGATAATATTAATCCAAATTGCTATTAATTAAAAGCTACATAGAAGAAAACAAATTTCATGACAAAGCTGTACACAAAAGGTAGAGCAATTCACATGTTACAAGTTACAAAGCAGCTTTACGAATGGGAAAACAATTATTTTACCAAGATTTTTATATCTAAACCACTTCTTAACCTTCAGCAAGTTTTATTCTTTGTGGAGAGAGAGAAATAAAACTAGCCATCCAAGTATAGTAGATGTACTTTGTTTTCATATGCCCAACCTATCCAGGAGCACACAAAACATGCTCCTAAAACTGGCTGTTCTTGAGATATCAAACATGTCACATACATCATTTTAATCCTCCCAAGTGAGTGCAATTTTAGTAGTCACAATTGCAGGAAGTATTTGATTCATGGTCAGATGGTACTACAGCCTATTATTTTGAATTCAAGATGTCACACAGCTAATAAAATTTAAGTTTAGAAATACAGACCATTTATTTTCAAGGTACCAAATCCCTTTCACTCTCAGCATAGAATACATATTTTCAGGATGAATATGTCATTACTGGACTGATGAGATAAATAAAGGCAATAACGAAAGTAATATGGAAGCAAAAAGACATTATTTATTAAATATAATAATAATAAAATGTCCACAGCTAACTTAAATATATGAGGGGTTATGTATTTTGCTGTATTTTCTGAAGAAGAAATTCTACTTGTAAATTTAGATTTGGCTGTCCTTTTTTTGTCTTCTTACTCAGTATTTTAAAAGCTTCCATTTTCTTTTTCTTGTACAACCGTTGAGCTTCTTCTCTTTGTTGTTTTCTTTTTTCTGCTTCCTGAAATTAAAAAAATATGTAATATTATGAAACAATTACAAACCCTCTGTGACTGTGAAGCTATTTATAAGCAATAAAGTTCATTTTTGTATGGGTACTGGCAATTAGGTATTGTACTGCCAATAGAAACACCATTTCTTTAAAGCTGAATCAGGATGTTCTTGCAGCACATACTGCAATCAGAACAAATTATACAGTTTCAAGCTTCAAGAGAAAAACCAAGCTTTCTTTAGCAGAACATCCTACAATAAGGCTTGCTGCTGCAATGTATACTGCTTCCTTTCTGTGAAATGTGCTCCTTGACTACTCTCTTTAAATGACAAACTGGCAAAAAATTGCCCACTTTCCCCTCTTCAGCGCAAGAAAGAAAAAAGTGATGCAACAGCTCCCTCGTGAATATCCTGCCAAACCAGATGTGCTAGGATACAGGACACCTCTGCATGGGACAGGCTGATAGGATATGGGACCTATCTGGACCATGTGTTGGGCAGGTTTGTGATACTAGGGCAGCTTTATCTAGGGGAAATTAACCCAGACCAAACTACTAGTAACCTGCTCTCTTTAAAGCAACACAGACTCTGTCTTTACTTTTCAAAGAGAAGGAATGAAAACACAAACCTTAATCAAATTTTTACCTGTAAAACCTTTCACAAAGCCCACATGCAACCAAACTACTAATGGAGCATTAATTATATATGGATGGACTATTAACACCATATGGATAATCACCACAATGTTACATTCAGATTTTAACCAACATCTCACACCCCTTTTTCCAGAGTTGTAATTTTACTCAGTAATTTGGGCAAACATCCACAAGCCAGATAAACAGCTTACTTCACTCATCTCATGTACTACCAAAATATGCAAGACATCACAAACCAGACTGAAAGACTGCTGCAGTTCATTTGGATAATTTCTTCTCATACAGTTTATTCTTTGAAATGCAATGCCATGCTGATCACATAGAAAAGCATTTCTGCAGAATGCCTGAACAGATGATAATATATGGATCATATTTTTGTTTTCCACAGCATAGATGGCTTCAGTGATGTACAAAAACTAATAAGAATTGCTCTCTGACATGAAATTTACAGGATATAATTCAAGGAAAGATTTCTAAACAGAAATCTAAGAAGCCTCAGAAAAAAAACCTCCAAACATTCAAATAAATATGCACATGCAAAAATATGCATAGATAACCTCTCTCACAGATAACCTCTTCAGAATCATATTCTTGTAAACAACACCCAAGTCAAGCTACCAACCAAATGCTTACTTCAAAGCAAGAATATTCATCATACTTAGACAGTTGTATTTACATTCATAATTTTTCTGATCTTTACTAAATACTAGCTTTTTTTTTTCATCATGTTCCACCTAAGTACTCCCCCTAAATGATTACTGTTATCGGGCACTTAGCTCTTGTTTTGCCTAACTATCTTTGACAAAAAAAAAAAAGCCAACATCTGCACTCAGGCAACTACTATGTGCTGGGGTTATGTTTGTTCCCATCTTCTCTAAATAAGTTAGTCATAAAATTAATTTCTTTTGACACAATCTGTAGCTAATACACAAAAAAGCGGCCATCAGCTGAATAATCATGTAACTCACCCAGAATCACAGATCAGCTTGCATAACACTAAATATAGCTGAAAAAGCAGTATCTTTTATACAGCGATATATTCAATATTTATACAGTAGCTACTGAAATTTAGTATGTCATCAGGAAGTTACACAACTTCTACAATGTTACACGGTGTGCCATTTTACAGTACAACCAACAGTGTCCTGGGAGAGAAAAAAACTAAATAAGGACCACTCAAATAAATAATTCAAGTGAGCTGATCGACAATGATGATATTACAATATGTCCTGTAATAATTCCAATTAAATAATTCCAATTAAAATCAAATGAAGGGAATGACTAAAAATTTTAACTGTGAATACTATTAAATTTAATTTTTTCACTGTTGGTCAAAGTTCATAAAAAAGTAAAATGAAGACTGCATTATGATAATGCCATAAGAAACAGGATGGGTATTTCATTTTTCATCATAAGATGATGGTATTGCTATTACTTCCCCTTCTACAAAATTTAAGAGGTCTAATATAATCCACTGGGGTATGCAGATCAAGTTCTAAGCTTTTTTTCATGTACCAACTGACATAATAAAATCCTGCTACAGGCAACTGTAAGGTTAAAATAGTAAGAACAAAGAGAATGATCCTTTGAACACCCATGTGCCTGAATACCACTGTCAAGATGAAAAAGACTGAAAGAGCTCCAATACCTCCTGTGGTCTTCCCTGGGTTCAAATGGAAGACAGGGAGGTGGGAATGGTATTAATCTGGATTTTGTTTAACATCAAGTAAGAACTCTGTTTAAGATTTACCTCTTTCTTTCTAGCATGCTCAGCCTTTATCTTCTTGTATTCTTCTTTTGCCTTCTGATTCGATGTTTTATTTTTAAACTTCTCTTGAGTCCCAACTGACCTGGGGGAAAAAGTACACATTCTTGAGACACTGAGTACCATCAAGCAGACATAGCCACAGCAGAATCACAGCACAGTCTTCCACTGCTTTTTGCATATTCAGGGAAGATAACTACAAATACAGGTTTCAGAACACTCATCTTTCTACACTGAATGGATTCTTTGCACTACTCTTACATTACACCAACACCATGCCAGGCCATACATGAGTAGTCAGCAAGAAAACATAACAAACTGAACTTCTTCAATGCCAAATGTACCAAAGACCAGAGTGCACACAACTGTTAGTAATACAGACACCTTATCTGCTGTATCTTCACATGGATGATGTTTCCTTAAGCTCAAAGACTGCCTAAAACAGTTTTCCCCATCATTCAAGCTCCTCAGAGCTAGGAAACCTGAACATACTAGCTTAGAGCTGCATTCTCTCTTTCTAGTTCCAACACATGGAAGCAAGTGTAGAGACATGAGAACATTCATTTAGAAATATCATTCTCTTATGGAAAAACAATGAAAATTTTTTTCTTTATTCTCACCTCCATCTGCTGGCAATACTGTGCCATGACACCTCACTGTCTCAAGTACAAAACCGTCCATTTATTTTTCTAACAAGCAGGAAAAGATATTTAAGGCACAACAGCATTTTAAGTAAAGTAAATCACCCCACTAAAGGGGTGATTCCATGCAAAAAGTTCCATGCAAACTTTTAAAATCTAAAATATTTCTTTAGCGATGGAAAAAACTACTTTGTTTAGAGACATGCTTTGAAAACTTACTCTGCTGCTTTATTAAGCTTTTCTTCTGATGACACCGAATCCTCTGGAGTCCTGCGCCGCCTCTTAAGCCTTTCTTCCTCTGCAAGGTAAAGATGCTTCAAGTGCTCTGGGTAGGTATCTGCAAACTGATCATCCTGCTGGGAATGCACCTGCCTTCTCTTTTTCAGCAATTTCCTGTACTGCCGTTCAATCTTTTGCTTCCTCCGAAATGCAAATCCTCGTCCTGAAAGCACAAGGAGAAGGCAGTTACACACTCCTGCACTAACACAGCACCAAAGCTTTCAGTTTCAGGACCCTTGCCATCTGTCTTCTTCCCACACTGAAAAAAGCCACAATTTCAATAAGGATCAGTCATAAGCTCAAGGAACAAACCACTATGATAAGGTTGTTCCCTACTGCAGCATTGCAGCTTGCACAGATTCACTGAAAATGCCTGCCCAAAGCCCTGGGAGAGCCCTGCAAACACTGCGGGTTAATGCCCACCCACCACTGCACCTCTGCCCATGCTTCTGGATCCAGTGAAAAGGTGGATTTCACTTCACTCCTGCTTCTGACAGCTTCTAAAGCAACACGAAAATACCTAATGCCTTATTTTTTATTGTATTAGTCTTAAGATCTACTGACTTTCGTAATATTCACCAACAAAACAGTTTCGGAATGGAAGTCAAATTAGTCCCAACTTCTCCTTTTATTCTTTCTCCAAAGCTGCCACTTCAGCAAAGTGCTGCTGAAGGCCATGCTCTCTTTCTTATTCATTTTTACATCTGCATAACTACCTACCAATAATCTGAACCTCTTCTCAAACATGCTTCTTTTTAAATGTACGCTTGTCTATGGCAAAAACTCAAAGCGAGCCCTAAACTCGCCAAGCGTCCCAGGGGCTGCAGTCCGAGCCCTGGGAGCTCCAGCTCACACCGGCCGCCACAGGCCGCCCCAGCGAGCCCTACAGCTCTCAGCCCCGAGCCCACGGCCACGAGCACCGGGGGCGAGGCGGAGCTGCGGGCTCCGCTAGCCCAAATCCCTCGCCAGGCCTGGCCCCAGCCGGGAGGCTCGGGTCGAGCCAGCTCGCAGCTGGGCCAGGGACTCGGGCCTCCTTCGGCGCCCCCTCATACCCACCGGCGGCCCCGACTCACCCTCCTGTACGCTGCCGACAACGCTGCTCAGCAGGACAGGCCTCCACCGCCGCTTTCGGCCGGGCCCGCGGGGCGCCGCGCCCGCTTTGGCCGCCGCCGCCGGCCCGGGCCCATCGCGCCTCGCCGCCGCCATCGCGCTTCCGGCGCCGCGCAACGAGATGACGTCACCCAGTCGTGGCGCGGACGGGCCGCGCGCGGGGCCATGTCGCGGCCGTCGCGCGCGCTCCCGGCGCAGCTGCCCCCGGCGGCGGCGGCGCGGGCGCTGCGGCGCGTGGCGCGGTTCGTGGGGCGCGCGCTGCCGCTGTGCCGCGCGCACACCGTGGAGTTCTTCACGCGCGGGCTCTGGCAGCGCTTCGTGGCGCCGCCCCCCGACGCCGTGCTTGAGGCGCTGCGCGCGGCCGGGCCGCTGGCGCGCCCCCTGGCGGCGGGCTCGGGCACCGCGGCGGCTCCGTGCGGTGAGTGGGACCGGGACCGGGCCCGGGGGAGAGGGGGGCGCGGCCGTGCCGGGGAACGGGACGCGGTCGGAGCCGGCCCGGGAATTGCACTGCCGGGGCTCGCGGTAGTGCCGCCCGTGACGGTGCCGTCAATTTCATCCTGTTCGTTTGGAAACGAAACTCCAAACTGTCAGATTCCTGCACTCTGACTGAGCCCTGAGGAACTCAATTAAAATGAAAAAAAAAAAAAACAAATCAAACAAAACATCCAAGAAACCTCCACGAGTGCAAAGATGTAACATTAAAAGTGAAGAGAGTGTTGGGACTGGAGATGCGGAGGACAGCTGGAAAAGGCTCGAACGCCGCTTTCCTGTGTGTCTGTAATAGTCGTGTCTGGCACGGGAAGGCAGCTGCTTTATTTCTGACGGGATCTGTTTAAGAAGCACTCCATATTTTTAGTGATTTTCACGAAACTGAAGAGGAAGCCAGCTTGGCTGCTGTGTTGCTGGATGTGCTGCAGTGCAAGGAGGAGGGGAACGTGGCAGTAATACTGCTTCAGGCAGGGCACAAAATGAAGATAAAGCATCTGAAAGCAGTGGTGTTTGGGGGGACTGAGCCCAAGCAGGGAGATCACTTTCAAATCCAAGGTGAAATCTCTGACAAAGCACTTAGCTGAGAAAAGCCAGTGTCGTGCCAAAGCATATGGAGTGTAGATAGCTGTCACATTGCGTTAGCTCTGAAATGCTGCGGTAAATGGCACTCGAGGCAGGAAAGTGTGTGCAGTGTGAGAGGAGGCTCCACAGAAAGTAGCATGTGCTTCTTGGCATAGCACACCAGCTAAGATAATGATTTGGACTCAGAAAGAGATTGAAGAGCTGTGAATTGCTACATCACTAGCAACATTTCTCGGTTGGATCTGAAGACCTCTCAAAATATTAACTGTAAGACTAATTTTTAAAGGGTTGAGTTATTTGGGAAAAATCCCACAGAGTTTATTTGTGTATGGGAAAGACACTGGGTTATGAATGACCTTGAAGAGCCAGATGGAAACAAGACAGTGGTCTGGTCAGCCAGCAAAAGTGTTGGGAAGCAGGCTTAATGTTCTTGACAGGTAATGTCAGAGTCAGAACTGATTCAGAGCAATAGGACATAAAATTGAATGTAAATAGAGGCTGGAACAAAGCTAATTATCAGATGTGGTCATCATAAAGAAAACAGTAAAGAAACTTGTTTCTATGGAAAAGTCCATGGAACGATTCAAACACCGAAGTGGTGGCCTGTAGAGTAGCATGAGAGTCAGGAGGGCAGAGTATTGTTTTGTAGAATTCAAAACTGGATAATAATTTAATAATCTGCATTCAAAAATGCATGTTACAGAATCTGCTGCAGAGATTACTGTAACAAAAAGACAAGGACGTCTTTTGAAGAGTATGAAGCTTTCATGCTGTGACTAAAATATGAATTTTTTTCATTGGTTTCTGCAGGAATTGTTTCTTCTAATTAAAATAAAAAAGGAAGAATTGCCCCTTTTTTCTGACTTTAACATTCTAGTATGCTAATTAACAGAATGCACTGTAGCAGAGTGGGCTGATATGCTTGCTGATTTGTTGGTTCATGCCTTACTCATTTGACTGCATGGTATCTGTCCATCCTGTCATATGGTGAAAATACTTTGTAGTAGAATATGAGTTTTTCAGTGAAGATACCTGCAAGTGTCTACTTACATTTTCAAATCAATGCACTGCTAGCCTGTATTAAAATTAGGAGGAAGAGACAGAAATGTAGCATCATAGCTCACTTGAGTGCATAAATGCAACTCAATAACATTAGGGGTCAGAAAATGACCATTAGAGAAACCAATGTAAACAGAAATTACTCTTCCTTGTTCAAAGTAATTTCCTTTTAATGACCATGTGAAGGATGGAACCCTTGTTTTCACTTGCACTCTGCAGAAAAATGTAAGATCCCTTTTTAGGTTCAGAAACTGGTTTGAATACATCAAGAAGCTGACACTTGCCATATTGCATTTTGTTTATCACGTCATTGCTGGAAATTGGACACAAGCACAGACAAATCTGTGTTTATGTATTTTCAAATTTTACTGTAAATTACTGTTTGTTCTGTGATTCCAACTTTGGGGCATGTATTTCTTTCCTCTCAAGATTTGTTTGCAAATGTATAGACTGACTGGTTAAAAGACAAGCTGCATTTCCTCTTGTGAGCATCCAGAGCAGAAACGTGTCCAAAAACCTAACATTTTTAATATTCATAAATAATGCAAAGTTCAGCAACTGCCATTCTGCAGCTTGAAGTTAGGCTTCAGATGCCTTAATGCAGTTGGTTCCTGTTTTTTAGTTATCAAGCCGGGACAACAATTTAAGTTAGGTGAGTGTTATTATGGGTGATCTTATATGAGAGTCTGCTAGTTCTGTCATGTTCTTAACCAAGTTAAAGAGTGTTGTAGAACATGGACATTGCTGCATTGGATTTCAGTTAAGTGAGATTTGTAAGAACAGTAATTATATTTTATGTCAGCTGCTCAAAAAGTGAAATCACATCTATTTTCTTATCTTTCTGTAATAAATCTTACAGAGGACACATTATAAAGCAAAGTTGCCCCTTATTCCTGAAAGCTGCAGTCTTTATTTCTCATCTCTAATACCTGTTACAATCTTACCCTTCATGAAGACTACACTAACTGAAATTTGTTCAAACAAGGAAGCTGTTTATGGAGAAATGTGGCTTTCTTTTTAGGTTTTGTAGTAGAGAGGAGTGAGAAGTGCTGTGTAGACAATGAAACCATGTTAATATTTATGCTTTCTTAGATACAAAATTTGTTTGCTGTGCTTGTGCCTTTGTAGTGTCACATAATGAAAATTAACATGGTTTGGGACTGTTTTCAGTGGACTGCAATATATGCATGGCCTTTCATTGTAGTCATGCAAGGAAATTAAGAACATTCAAGTTGAGGTCAATCCAAACAGCTGTATCCATTGTCATGCCAGATTCAGGGAAGCCACTGTGCTAGGTATGTACTTCCTCATAATCTACCTATGACACACAAGACAAACCAGGAGACTTTTTCCAAATTTTTGTAATTGTTTGACTGCTGGACTGGGTGCCTTTTATATGTTGAAAAGAATTTCAAGTATGTAAAAATTATTAGCAAAACTATGTAGAATTCACAATAGTTTCATGCAAAATAGAGAGGAATTAGACAATTCAAAACAATCTCAGAATTAATAAATTATTCATACTAATATGTTTCACTTAAAAATAGATGTACATTTTTGAAACTCAGTAGTAAGCAATTCCAAAATTAGGTATTTCATCATGACTCTGACAAAATACACATTGGAATCTAACTTTGGCCCACATCTGGTTGGAAATAAAAAATTAATTTAATTCTCCCAGTATTCATCAGTTACAAAGCAGCTTGGAAAGTACGCAAATTGAGTGATTGTAAATCCAAACATTTCATGTACTAAGCAGCTGCATTTCTTTAAAAAATCTAGCAGCATGTATTGGCGCGTTGGGCTGACTAGGACATGTATAATGAGCAAGTCTGTAAACAGAAGAGAAGTGATAATGTTGACTGAATTAGCTTGTCAGTTATATTGAAATAGGGCTGCTGAAACAACAGATTTTGTCACATTTACACTGGTTCAACTAAGAGCAAAATTTGACCTCGGTTCTGGAGGGAGAATGCAGCTGATGAAAAATTATGAGTTTCCCCACTTGGGGAAGCAAGATAAATGGCCAGTTGTGTGTGATACTAAGTATTTATTACCTGTAGTTCTCTGTCAGCAGTATCAGAGAGCTGTTAAGCACTGCTCACAAAAATCTTTTCCTTTTCTTTTATGTGCAGATGATGACATCTTTTCCAGTGTATTTTCTGAGAACTCTGAGAAGCTTATCAATGTACATTTGTTTGCCCTGGCTGCTAAATATTATTCTTTGTCCAACCTTGGAGTGTGCACCCCATTAGAAGATGTGCTTGAAGCACTGAAAGGAGACAGTGAAGGAGCAACAGGTATATTTACATTTGTATTTTAAAGTTTACTTATTCGCTCTAGGACTAGACAAGAGTTTTGCTTTTGGAGAGTTATTACAGCGACCTGAGTGGGTCGCTGGGGTGGTGAGAGAAGGACGAGAATCTTGTTTCTTGATCAGAAGGCTGGATTTATTGATATATGATATATTATACATTATAACTATACTAAATAGAATAGAGAGAGAAGTTGCAGAGGCTGCTAAGCTAAGAATAGAATAGAAAGAATCTCTAACAAAGTTCTGTGTCCCGGGAATCTTTCCTGAGCTTGCTCCTGTGATTGGCCCTTAACAGTACACATGGAACAAGAACCAATCACAGGTGCATCCTATTGCATTTCACAGCGGCTGATAACAATTGTTTACATTCTCTTCTGGGGCCCTTGCTTCCCAGAAGATGCACGAATCTGAAGGAAAGGATTTCTATGAAAAAATGTCTGCGACAGAGGGTAGTTTGTTGTTTGAGGATTTTTTCCTACATGATCCTCACCTTCATTTTAATTTGTTCTTGGATAGTTTCTTTATTGCCTTTGTTTACGAAATGCATTCTCTTTCTAAAATTTGAGCATTTGGTGTCTGTAGACCCAGCATGGGATTCAGTTTTAAAGGGGATGGGACAGAGAAGAGGGCATATCACTATATGAGATACCTTGTTATTCTCTTTTTTTGTCTTGTCCCCAAGTGGCAAGAATCATAGTTGCTGCTCATGGCTTTCTTGGAAGTATCACCCTAAAATATGACAAATATATGATATCTTAGGGAAAAAAGAGATTTTACTAATTCTGTATTTTGGGACTAACACCAATTATATGTGATAAAAGAAGAGTAATTTCATTTTCTGTAGTTAAAGAAATTGAATTAAAACACTCTTAAATTAGCATCAAGTTGGACACTGGGAATCTTACCTGATTATAATTTTTGAATCAGATGATAAACTAACATTTATCCTTTCTTGGACTGCTGTCATTTTGCTGCAAATGTGCTATTCATGGAATCCTCAGCCTTGCTATATTTTGAAATTTCTTATTAGTTGTCAAGAGACAGACTGAGCAGCTCTCTGCCTTTGCCTTCTAGTGCCTTTTATCTCTGGGATGCATTAAAACTCCTGACATTTCTTATCCTAAGTGATAGCACCATTATACAAATGTTGTGCATCTCTCCCATTTTCCACAGTGATCTCTTTCCAATTTTGCCATTTTTCATGGCTGGCTCCTAAGGTTGTTTTAGAAGTACTAGAATGCCATTGCTGAGCTACTCCAAATGATTTGTAGTGCACTCCTCTTCCTTTCTGGCTTCTTTCCTTATGCCCTTAGTTCATTGGAAACCATTTTTTCTTTCTTGACAACTGTATGCTTCTTTTCTTTCCCACTAGCTTTTTCATTATTTTCATTTTTACTATATTTCATTCTCCATGTTCCTCTTAATTTTCTGTAATTCTCTATCTCTACATTCTTGTACTTGATTTCATACCTGGATTACCTTTTTTAGCCAAAACTTTGAGGATTCTTTCATTTTCTTGCCATGCAGAATGGAGCATCAGGAATAAAGGAGTTGCTGAATATCTTGATTTCTGTGTTGCAGGAATGAGGCTTGGTTGGGTTACTGGAGCCTGGGATTGTATTTTTGCAGTACTTCTGAGTTGTACTTCTTGGGAAAAATAAAATGTGTTCCAAATGTGTACAATAGAATTATAATTCAGAACCTTTGTGCTGAATTGGCAGTAAATATCAGTTAAATTAACTTAATTGAAGTTCCTGGTAATCATTTGGCAGAGGCAAAATACCAACTAAGGGATTCATTGTGTGGAAGTTGCCAAATGAAGGTTGAGATCATTGAGGTACTTTAGATATTTTGAACTAATTTCTGTATTTCAGAAGATATGTTTGTTCCCTGACATGCTAAAGTTTGCAAGTTGAAAGAAATGTAAATCTGAGAAAACCGGCAACTTTATGATGGTGTTGTTTATATTCTGAAAAATATACATCAGGATAATTCTGTTTATGTTTCAGATGTTTTTAGTTTGTTTTCTTCCTCCAAGACAAACAGACTTTTGAGCCTATTCCCACAGTTTGCATGCTTACATAGTTCTCTAGCTCCTTTGCAATCTTAATGTAGATATATTCCTGTCCTTCCTGGGAATGACTGGGAAGCACAAACATTTTAAGCATGTTGTAGACACAGCTGCTCAGAATGGAGTTCTGAGTCTGAAGGGTGTTCCCTTTGCTTCATAACCACCCACAAAAGAGGGCTGGATTGAGAGTACTCCACCTTTGCAGTGTGTTCAGGGCCAAGGTAATAATCATGCCATGCAGTGAATACTAATGAATCCATCTTCAAATTCCATGTACTGGAATATCACTCTCCTCAGAATAGGTTTTTTTGGGTATATGGTTAGTCCGGTTCCTCACTCTGGATCATGGAGTTAGATCATCATAGTAAACTTCTGTATAGAAGGTGTTTTGTGGTGTGGACTATGGATTTATACTTCTGTATCTGGTGTATCTGAATTTCCACACATCTCTGGGGTGTAAAACCCCTGTACCCTGCCATAGGAGATCTTAAAAACATCTGTGTTAGCTGTATATAAAAACAGTCTCTCCTCAATTTGCTCAGCTTCACAACTCAAGGTGCAGCTGTAAACAGCACTACAGAGTTAAAGCAGTTCTTCAAATGGAATACAGGTACTCATGCTAGGGATTCCCAGTGGAAATGAGCAGAATTTCATTACCAACCAAAACTGGTAGCATGAAGCTTTCTGTTACTCTATCATATCCAAGCTACTTCTGTAAAGCATTTGAAACCACACTATATTTTTTTCATCACAAAGGGAGATGGTTCTCTAAATTTCTGATGTTTTTTGAAATTAGTATTCTGCCTGGATCAGTTTTATTCATAATAAGGAAATGTGCATGTATAATGTACATGTGTAATTTTGTGATAGCAGAAAGAATTTACACAGTTTGAGTCAAACTAATATTTTTTTTAATTCAGATTTTCAGTTGTCTAGGCAATATAGAACAGTCCCTAGATACATTTGTTTGCATTAGTTTGGAATATGTGCTTGTTTTTCAGAATAATGTAAAAACCTATCAGAATTTTGCATAAAAAGCAGGGAAAAATTTATTTTAAAAACCATAATTTTCTCCAAAAGATAGAGTTTTCCCTGAGCTGAAATATAAACAGTGTGTTATCCTGCAGGAAGTAGGGAAAGAAGTCAAAAAGTGCTTAAGAAGCTTTTGTAGCTAGGGTGATAAATAAACTATATATGTAGATATAAACAAATTATGCCTTTTCTATCTGGAACCTCAGCTTTTGTAAGTTAGGTAATTGTTCTGGATTTCTACCATGTTTGAAATGCTTAATTTGTATTAAGTACTCTCTGACATAGTACTTCAGCTAGCATTACCTCATTGAGTCTTTTGAGTTCATAATAGAGAAAAGAGTAAAGGTGCAGTATGTGGTCATTGTCCAAAGTGACGGTGCTGCTTTGGAGAAAAAACAACTTTTATTTCTGTCAAGAAGTTAAATGTCTGTTTCTTCTCATCCCAATTCTGCTTCTTTTTCTGATGAACCTATCCAGACACAAAAATATTCAAACATAAACAAAAAGAGATACTTCTTTTCTTTTTAAATTTTTTTTCCTGTCTGTTTTTCTTTAACCTGATATGTTACAAATTAAGAGCTTTTTAGGATGCTGTATAGACCTTAACAATTTTAAAGTTAAGGAAATTCTTCAGTAAGATGACAAACACTTGTTTCTGCTATTTGTATTGTTTAAGTCTTTTAGCCTATTTTTCCTTTTGTCAGTTCATAGAGTCTATATTAGATTTTAAGTACTGTCATAACAGTTTATTATAAAAACCCCAGATGTTTAAAAAATAGACAGATCCCTTGGGGTTTGGGAAAAATAGAGAAAGCACTGGGTTTCTTATGAGCTCAGTTCAATTCCCCACTCTCTTTAAAGAAGTAACACACTTGGTTCTGCTCCCAGCATGATCTGATCAAGAAATGAGCATGGTTTTTGCCTAATGATCAGTTTCTGGACAGATGGATACATACTGTGCATGAAGCAGAAAATGGGAAAGTATATTAATCTGCCTAGTCATGTAGAAAAGTCCTGTTTCCTAGCAGCATGCTCATCAGTAATGATCCAGTTTCTTCTGCCATCACTCAGACTTACCATCAATTTCACTAGATCCAAGTGCACTGCAGCATTGGAGCCCTAAGAGAAACATGTGGGTTCTTCCCAGGGCAGTGACTTCTGAGCTCGTGCACAGAGGTTCACGAGGGAGTGCTTGGTGTTCTCCACAAGCTGTTAACCCGTGATGGAGGTTGACTCCATCCCGTTAGCACATTCTCCTGCAACACTGAAATGAGTGATTTTCTGCCATAAAGGTGTAACAGTTCTATAACCAATCCATAAATAAATAAAAGGAAAGGTAAATAAAGAAAAGGAAAGTTCATCTTCCTCTGAATCTTCCTAGAATCGCTCATAGCTTTTAGTAGAGATATCTCCCTCTTGATACTGTCAGCAAATCTGCAGCATTAACAAGCTGTACAATGGGATTATTTATTGTCCCTGCACTTATATTTCATTTATGGAAAGGTAAATGTGATAAATGAGACAAAAATAAATATTTTTCAATGAAAAGGAAGAAATAGTACCATTTTATAGTTGTAGCCATTGTCTAATACCTGGTCAGGTATTAAATATGCTACATCTTAAAAACACCTGACTTTTACACAGTGTTGAATGTTGCTAATTCATCCATAGTTCAGAAGTTTACTCTTGTAATAATTTAGTGAGTTTTTAATTAAAAATTACTACCCTGAAAATATATAAACAGTGAAGTCTATATTAGCTTTTTTTTTCCCTGATTGATCATGAATCCTTATTATTACAAGTTGTGTTAATGTGTATTTATTTTCCTAATCTGATGCAGGTATCAAACCAGATGAGTTTATGAATAATAAGAAATCACATGAAGTGCAGGTGATGTCAGAGCTGGTAGACAGCATAGCAAATTATTGTGGGATAAAGCAGGTAAGAAAGCATTTCTTACTTTGTGTTACCAGGCACCTTCTGAGTTATTCTCCTTTTTTTGTGCAAATACACCACTTTGATATTCTGTCACTGCTGTTCTTATTTTTCCTGTACCAAACTGGAGCTAAAGGAGAGCTGTTGGGACCAAACTGAAGGACAATTTTGTTTACAAATGTACTGTTCCAAAGGAACTGCCTTTCAGTGACTCATAATCACTCATGAGTAATTTTAAAAAGTTAAGATCATCCTCTATGTGTTGAGCAGCTAAAAACTGTTCTGCTTTTTGGAGCAGTACTGCCTTGTTTGTCAGTATTATATTGCTGGCAGTGTTGCTCATGTGTCAGTAGGAGAGCTGCCTTGTGTCATGCACACAAGAGTGTCACACAGAGACAAGGCTGAATATCTTGAGCAATTTTGAAAGCTCCTCTTATTCTGACACAAGATTTAAATAATTTCCTGTTGTTTAATGCTGTTCACCTTTGTTTAACATGGATTGAGATCTATAAATTGGAAATCTAGTTATGATGTTTTTAGTTTGAAGAGAGACCAAATTAAGCAGAGATTTATGCGAGTGTGTATGAAATACGTTTGGTAGAACATGTATGAGGCCTGGACACCCAACACCATTATCACCAAGCAATTACTGCCTGAGTTGGCTGTTTCATACATCAGATGCTAGGTTTGTCTTTGGGTGGTGAAGAATTGCATGATTCCTTTCTCAAATTTGATTGTAACTTAAACCTTTTTTTAATATACATGTAACTATGACTGCACAGTGCACTAGATCACTGTTTTAGTAAAACCTTGTAGAGGTTTATTTATGTATCTGTTGACAAAACACGAGCACCCCAGCAATACTTGGCATTTTTGAGTAGTATGTTTCACATTTTGTTAGACAAAGTGCACCAATACCATTTCCTCAGTTTACATGCATATGGTTTTTTGTAAGCTTTTTCAGTGGTAAGCCTTTTGTTAAATTCCATACTTTAGGCCTGCATTGTGATAAGGCTAAATTTTTCAGGTGAGCTGAGTTCATTTATTCATTTTAATCTCTGTAATGCTGGTAACTGGCCAATGTAGCTTCATCCTTGCTTTAAACTGGAGGTGACATGGGACTCTCAACAGACATTTGATTCCTTTCTACATCTGAGCTGCACTTTGCAGCTTTCCATGCAAGGGGCTGTAACTGTAAATGGAGACTTATTTCCTCCAGGCTAATATTCATTCCCACAAAGATTTTTGGAGAACAAGCTATATTTGTTTAAAACCAAAGGTTAATAAGGTACCTGCCCAGGTTTTATGATGAGGGTATTTTCTCTGAGTATTCTTTTCTTGTAAGTAAATATGTATGAGTATAGTTTTAAATGAATGTACCTGCAGCAGCCCTGCAGGTTGCTGTTGCTCCCACCACAGGGAAAACCCCAAAACTTGGATTCAGCTCTGAATTGCTGAAGCTGAACTTTGGTTAGGAGGTTATTTGGCTCAGACTGAATTTAATTTAGATAAGTAAATGATGCTGTACTCTTGCTAGATTTGGGTCAGGCCTTTGTGGCATCCTTGGAAACAGAGATCAAAATTCTCAGTCCTGACCATCTGTTTTGTGAGGAACAGCTGATGGAGACAAAGTTTTAGGCAGTGTTCTTACAACTGGGATTGTCAAGTAAATAGAGAGCTTTAATTAAGGCCAAACATTTGTGGGGAGACGCAATCAGTTTGTGAGCATCTGCAGTCACTTACAGCGATGGAAGGCAGGCTGTCCTGCAGCCCTTGAGGAGCCACCACAGTGACAAGGGTAGGTGCCCTCCACAGCCCCAAAGTGGGGGTGCTCTGTAGAGAACAGAAATACACCAGCAGCACACTTGTGAATGTCTTGTATTCTCTCATGAGCATGTTGTTTTGCCTTGTTTACCTTTTGTTTCAGGCAAATGTTGTTCAGTCCTTTCATGTACTGAAAAAGCTGTAGGAGGGTATAGTTTGCTTACAGTGCAATAGTAAGTGGTCTCTGCATTTGCTGGAAAGTGGAGTTTCATATAGCGTTTTCATTCAGATTTAAATAGTTCCTGTGAGATTCAGGAATGAAAGGAAAGCAAAAACCCTGTTCAGAAAGTAAAAAAGTAAAGCCATCTTAATAACTTAACCAAAGTTTCGATGTAGCTGGTTACTAATAAAATCACAAACCAATCCTTACTAAGTTATTTGTCAATATGCTGCAGTTTCATCCAGGGATTAATACTTTTATCAGGTGGCTTGGAGTATCTCTATACATGGGGTTATTTTCTGTTTACTTTTTAAAAAAATTATAACATTAAATGAAAAATATTATTGCAGTGTATCACTAAATATGAAATGCTGACTGCTCTATAATAACTTTTTTCCATTTTAGTCGTGCACTATAACAATATTTATTTGTGCAAAGTTACAAATCTCTAATATATGAGAAGAGCTTTCCTGTTACTTTGGAAAATAAAGAAAAGCCTCCTTCTTAGTCTTTAAAAAACAGCTCCTTTTGGTTTTGTTTTCTTTCAACTTAAAAAAAAAAGTTGCAATTATAAATTTTTAGGAGTTTTTCCTTATTGGTTTTTTTCTGTCCTTCTTGCAAAACAAAATAATGTATCATTTAATTAAAAAATCTAGAACCATGAAAACACACCACATGTTTTACAACAGCACATGTCCTCAGAGTGTGTCTTTCAGATATTACAGATCACTGACAGCTTGAAAAATGCCCTCCATTTCACCTCCATACCCACGTTGTATAATGGGTGGTAGAGGATATTGCTCTCTGTTGGTATTTTATAATGTACAATAGTGAATAGCAAAATAAGAATAAAAGCAAAAATTTTATTACCACTTTAATCACTTCTAGGTTTATGATTTTAATTTAAACATTAAAGCAAAATAACTAAAGAGCATTTTTTTTTCCAGTAGTTTGCTGACCCTTTTAAGCACTGTTCCTATCATATAAGTGGAACGTTTTTTTTAAGAAATTCTTGATTAAACTCTGAAAAGAAGCCAGTGTTGACTCCTCTTTGCTTAAGCACACATTTGTTTTATTTAATTTATTGGTCAAAGTTTTCCTTGGAAATTGCAGCATGTGCAGCAAGACTTGGAGTGTATAATGTAAGGATGATATAATTCTGCATTCAGCATCCATTACATTTGTGATTTTGTGCTGGGAAATGTTGGAATGCTTGATTGTGCCAGAAACTGTGTTTAAACATAGGACCCAACTCACTGTGGACAAGACCTTTGGAGTTTATTATATAATGGAAATTTCATTTTAAAGGTTCATGCTTGACAGATGTGCTATGGATTGCTTATTACCTTTCCCTATGTAATCAATGGAAAGTAAAGCAGGGACTAATTTATTCAGTTTATTTGTTTAGTGCAAGATCGTTGCTTACTATTTTTAGTCAACTTTTCCTTTTGTTTCTAAATCCCAGTGCTAGTTTAACAATGTGTTACTATTTACTATTTACTTGAGAAACTTTCCCGACCTGCAGCTGGTCTCTACAGCCACTAGGGGTCACGCTTAGGAATTATTCACTACCCCTTTCTTGGATCCAAAAGCTGCTTTTTACAGAAAAAATTCAAAACTTGAAGTGGAGGTGTGCATATTCTACACAATTGTAATAGCTGTTAAACAGAAGGGTGGGTAAAATTATTCCTTCAACACTTCTCTTTCATTTCAAATGACAGAAACACAGAATGGGTCAGGTTGGAAGGGACCACAGTGGGTCACCTGGTCCAACCTCCCTGCTCAAGCAGGGTCATCCTAGAGCACATGGCACAGGATGGTGCCCAGATTATTCCTTAATATCTTAATATTCCAGTGCTCAGTCACCTGCACAGTAAAGAAATTCTTCCTCATATTCAGGTGGAATTTCCTGTGCATCTGTTCCCACCCGTTGCCTCTTGTCCTATTGCTTGGCACCACCGAGAAGAGCCTGGAAACCTCCTCTGACACTCTCCGTTCACATACTTATACTCTCAGTTGTCTCCCTTCTAAACTGAACAGGCCCAGCGCCCTCAGCCTTTCCTCACAAGAGAGGTGCTCCAGTCCCCTCATGATCTTTGTTGCCCTCTGCTTGACGTGCTCCAGGAGCTCCAGGTCTCTCCTGTGCTGAGGTGCCCAGAACCGGGCACAGCACTCCAGGTGTGGCCTCAGTGGGGCTCAGTAGAGCTCAATATTGGTGATGAATGTGAGAAATAAATGACATTTTAAAAAGTATGCCTTATACTAAATAAGGTTATATAGATTCCATTTCATTTAATTCATTCCTGTACAGATTTATTTAAAAAAATTTTATGGTTGTAACTTGTCTATATTGCAAATGTTCATCAGTATCACATGATGACTACCCATGAGAATGCCATGTGCTACTGAGTAAACAATTTGTACCTAATAGTATTCTCCACTGTTTTCCATAGTCCTTAGTGACATTGTCTCAGATTTTTCTTTCTAATTCCATGGATGTCCAAATCTTTTTTATTACAATAATGAATAAATCTTTCTTTCTCATTGACTAAGAATATTGCTGTATTGAATATTTGTACCTGGTAAAAAAACTATGCAGTCGAGCTTAAGATGCATCAATGTAGTGTATGCTGCAATTTAGGTTTAACAGTAGCAGTGTAAGATTTCTTATGAGTGTATGATGGATCAAGAACAAAACATAGATGTTCTTGAATCAAACACTTCCAGGAACTTCTACACAGAAGTCATTATATCTAGTCAATATTATTTTTTAGTAGATAACTGGACAGAAGTGAATGTTACAATTTTCTTTCCTTAGAGAAATGTAACTCTGCCAATTCTTATAAAATGTTGTGTTATGTATTTATTAAATATTAAAACATACATTATGTAAAGTTATGATTACGTACTGAAAGGTCTCAGGTTACTCTTGTTTTTGCTAACAGTTTGTAAGGGTATTTCTCTCCTGAACATCAGTCACTGAACTAGCACAATATCAGCTGTAATACAAATTAAACCTATCACTCCTTCCTCCAGAATGGGCAGTGGAAAGTACATGTGGATTATGAGCCCCTTTGTTTATTAGAAAAGCATCCTTATGTTAAACAAAACTGTATGGGTTGTTTTCACAGAATGGGAAAGCAGAATAAACAAGCATTCTGGCATAAAAGAGTATCAATATCACCCATCTTTAGGTCAGATCTGAAGGGATTAGATTAAGCACTGAAACTAAAGATGCTTTTTGCTGTACACCCACTGGTTGTAGGCTCCTGAGTGTGGGAATTAGGTGCCTAAAGCTGAATACTGTGGACTGTATATTTGCTAACTGTGACCCAGTTCAGCAAGGGCAGGTGGAATTGCTGGTGGTTTATGGTTATTTATTTTGGCAGAAGAAAGGTCTCTGTCAAAAAATGTACTGAAAGTCTTTACAAGAAGCAGGGCATGTGAATTGCATAAACATTGCGATGTCTATTTTCTGGAGCACGTCAGTTAAGACTTAATTCTGTGTTTTGAAGTCAGGGAAAAAAAATCAAAGAAAGCAAAAGAACTAAGTGCATTGAGAAGTATGTTGCTAATAAGGTAACTATTCAATCCATGCTTAAATTTTTAGGGAATAATTTTGCACTTAAAGTGTGCCTTGTTGCTCATTAATATAGCAATTTTATTTTCCTTTATTTTTTCTCCATTATCTAGGTGATTGATATAGGTTCTGGGAAAGGCTACCTGAGTTCATTTCTGTCCATGCAATATAACTTAAAGGTTTATGGCATTGACTCCTCAAGCTCCAACACAAATGGTGCTCATGAAAGAAATAGAAAATTGAAGAAACACTGGAGAGCATATCAGAGTCGAGGAAAAGAAAGCCTCAAAAGCCAGAGTTTGGAAATGGCAAATGACAGGCCAGTGGAACATGAACTTGATTGTAAAAAAATCAATGAAGATCTCTTAAATAATGCCAATAGTCTTCAAAATCAGGGCCAAGTGATTATCCAAGATTCAGTTCCTTCTTGTGGTTTCACAGAAATGACTGCACTCGAAACCAACACAGAAACTGAAGCTGATTTAGTCAGTGGGACACAATCTCATGAGACCAAACTTTCTGAAGAGGTTCTTGCTGTTCTAAATGTTCTTCCTGTTGATGCTGTAGAAGATTTTTCTTCATCTCATTGTAACTGTGGGGAACTCTGTGAAGAGGAAAAAGTACAAAGAAAAATGACATCTCTCAAGACTAAAGCAAGAAAGTCAAGTGAATCGAACCTCTATCTTCCACTGACCTCTTGCATCACTGCAGAAACAGAACTCAGTGACATCATAACAGATCTGGAGGTTATTTTACTCTAAATATTTACTGTATTTAGATTGTCTGTTGTCTTTATATTGCCATTTTAATATGTACATGTTTGCTGAGTGTACATAGAGTACTATGTCCGGTGTAAATGAATATTCTGGCCCAATAATGGTTTTTAACCAGATAGCAGAAGTATGTCTACCATATAAAGATTGTATTTATATTTTGTTATATGTGTTGGGGTGTTCTTGAATCAGTCTTTAGAATTTATGTGGTAGATAATAATCAGCTGGCAAAGTTAACAGCTTATTCAGTTATTTTACAACTGTCATTATAGATAAAGTCTAATTATTATGAATTTGTTATTATTTACCAGGTAGATGCATATATTAAGCATTGGAGTTTCAATTCTCCTAAAAGTTACTTTTTCAAGTTACATATTTTTATACCTTCATTCACACTGGGAAGGCATAGGAGAATTTATTGTATATAGTATTCAAGATGAAGATCTTGTAAAGAATTATTATATTTTGACTTTACAGAATTACTTTAATTTCATTTAGTAATTTACTAGCTGGCAGGGTTTGTGTCTACACAAACAAGCTCAAGCTCAGCTGCCAGTGGCACAAGTCTAGAAACTCTGAGGTTGTATGTTTAGTTTTTATGCCTGAACTAACATATATTGATTGAGTAGATGCATTCAGTCTTTTATTGAATGATAAAAACTTCTCTGTGTTCAGTAGTAACCAAACTATTTTATTCCAGGGTGTAATAATCTCTGATTTGAGACCATTAGTTTGTGCTGATAGCCCTATAACTTGAGCTATAAATGGAGCTGAGTATCTGAGAACATGTGGAGCAAACTCATGTCTGTCTGCAAAAAACACCCTGAGCAGCAGGGTTTGTTGATGAAGCATATGCCTATACATTTGCACAGCTGGATTTTGTATCCTCTTAGTGTCTAATTTGTAAAATGTTGAAGGTGGAAGAAATATATCACTGCCTTTTTTGATATAAAAAAATACTGTCAAGGAACATAAAAGAGAAAAGCAGAAGTTTTCCTGTTTCAGACATGAATGCACAATGTAATACAGCTGGGTGAGATAATCAGATAAAATCAGAATGATTATAGATGGTATCTCAATTGAGTGGCCCTGGCCTAATTTCTTGTTGATATCCTGGAAAAGTGAAGGCTCTGGGTAGACTTTATAGCACATTCCATTATAGTACCTAAATGGGACCTTACAGGAAGGCTGGAGAGATAATTTTAATAGGGCATGTAATGATATAACAAGCCTTAAGATGAAGGAGGATAGATTTAGATTAGGTAGATATTAAAAGGAAATTCTTTACTCTAAGGGTGATGAGACCCTGGAAAAAAATGCCTAAAGTTGTGTATGCCACTAGAAGTGTTGAAGGCCAGGTTGGATGAGGCTTTGAGCAACCTGGTCTTGTGGGGCAGGGGGGTTGGAACTAGGTGATCTCTAAGGTCCTTTCCAACCCTAATGATTTTTTGATTCTATGAGTAATAAATATGTCTGTAATTCAAAGCAACACCATGCTTGCCACGTGGCTCCCAACTGATAATGTCAGAAGGGAAATATCTTGTTATGAATGGTTAGAAGAGAGAGAATTTTCATGGAGAAATGGCGGCAAAAGAATTGCAGAAAAAAGGAAAGTAGGAAATAGAATGGGCAGAAGAGCAGAGCATCTGAAGCTGAAGTTCTTACTTTGTGCCGTGAAGGAGAATGCCCATTTGTTGTTGAATAGCACTGGGCATACTGAGAAACTGTCAGTGATGGTGTTTGGAAAATGACAAAGCTGCTCTTCACCTTAAACCAGTATTTAGGAAGTTGCTTTGATTTCAACAACTTAAACTAGCAGATAGGTCCAGCCATATTTACAGCAAGGAATCTTTACTAAGAAAAGTAGCAGTGGTACTAATAACATGAACAGGAAACCTAGGAAGCACTAGAGAAAATGGTTTCTGCCCAGTAAACATTTAAATATTCCCTTCCCTGCATCTGTGTTACTCAAAGTCTTGAACTTCTGCATCATGGCCAGTTTTCATATATTTTCTTAGCACTGAAGAGCTTTGATTAGCATTGAAAAATTCTAGAATAGAACAGCAAGAGTCTTGGTGGAGTTGAGTATTTCCATCTTACAGCTCACTATTTGCACCACATTTGGGTTTTGGAGTTTGTTTTTATTTGTGCCCTATCAGTTGATGAAGGAGATGATTTATTGTTGCCTTTTTTTTCTTTTTCTTCTTAGGACTGTATGATGGTGGGTCTACATACATGTGGAGATCTTGCTGCAAATACTCTACGAATTTTTACTGCCAAGCCTGAAATCAAAGCCGTTTGCAGTGTGGGCTGCTGCTACCATCTGCTGTCAGAACAGTTTGAAAACCAAGAAGGTAATTCTGAGCTTAACATGTGGCTGCCAGGTTGCATGTTAAGAATATTATACTTTTCAATTAATAATCTCCTTGTGTTTGTTCCTTTCCAGTGGCTTATTTAGTACTGGTTTTATTTGTTTTATGAGGGTCATTCACTCCCAGATGCATTGTTGCTTTTCCGTTATGCCAATGTTCCTAATATTTTTACTGAGATTAGGGACATAAGTGCATAGTGTTTTTATATGGTTATAACTACAGCTGGTTTTATTTCATTAACTCAATTATAAATGTAGAGACTGTTTTAGTCCAGTATGTTTCCATCCTTTTGAAATATTTTTTGCCAGATTTTGTCCTCAGCTATATGTGTGCAACATCCAGTTATGTTAATTTGTACATATACAACAATGAGCAGAGTTGGGATTTTGTAATGTAAGGTAATACTCAACAAAACAGTCATCTGGGTACTGTGCCAGTCTTTGCCCATCATAAAACAGTACATATATAAGAGTTTTTCTTGGGAAGAGAACATGAAAATTATTTGTGGATTCAGAATATAGGCAAATTTTCCTACAAATGGGAAGGAGGGGGTTTCATTTTTGAGAGATAGCTGGTATTTTTACTTGAAATTGTGTATAATGAAAAATATTTAAGGAACTGGCTTTCTTGAGACAAGTGGTACATAGCTGATATGTCTAAATGACCATCTGCTGACATGCTACAACCTGATCATCATATCAGTAAATCTGAAAAAGGCTTGGCTTGGCAAGGTGTACTTCAGCTCTTTCAGGGAGCTTCACAGACACAGAGGCACGTGGGACTCAGCTCTCAGCTATTGCTCTTAGGGAGTTAGCTTCTTAAGTAGTCACAAGCACAGCTCCATACTGACCATGACACATGCTAGCTCTTTCTTGCTTTAATAATCTTTTCATGTTGTTTTTAATTAACTCTGCAACTCTTTTAAGAGTTTTTTTCAGTGTATTAGTCTTAGTAATTTCAAAATACTTCAGCTCACTCCAAAAGCAAAGGAAAAGAAAATACAATTGAAATTTCTATGCTACAAAAACGCAGTTAGAGAAAAAAATACACAATTATTTTACATCAGAGTTTTAAGACATTAAAAACTTTTCAGGTACTTCTCATTAAGTCTGAGTGTCTGAAACATTTGCTTGTTTCTTATTGCAAAGAGGACACGGCTTCCTGTGCTAGCTATATAGGATTACTTTTTGCAGACCAGTGCATAAACTCAGACACCCCCAAAGGATCAGGCATGATAACCTTTCAAAGTTCAAATAAACAGATATATGTACGTGGTTAGAAGAGATACTACAGTTTCATAGCAATATGAAAATGAAGTCAAATTGCATGTTGAATTGATTTTACTCTGCTTGAAGGACAAAATTATTCTCAAAGGAGAACATTTGGACAGAACAAAAGGAAATTACAGTATACTTTTTTTGGGAAAGAATATATATATTGTCTTAATAATGCTCAAAAATAATTTATTTTTTTACTATTACTATGAGACGGCATATTCTAAAACGTATAATGCTGTTGTATTCCCCTACTAAGTCATCTACCATATGGCTTGTTCTTAAATGTGCAGTGGAGGGCTAAGAGAACAAGGACTGACAATATCTAGGATTTAAGATTTCTTCAAATGGAAAATGGGAAAGAATTTAGACTGTATCTTGTGTCTGCATTTCCTGTGCATGGACTTCAAACTGACAAAGCATTCTGGAGGATGCGAGGGGACTCTGTCTCTTATCAGATGGTATTGTTCCAACAATTCAAGCAGTAAAAGAGCTCCTCTTGTAGCTAGCAGAAGCAAGTGGATTTTAATACTGCTTCCAGAATGGGCCAAATAATAGCATTTAAGTAGCAAGTAACTTCTGAAGGTCATCTGGACCAGATCATGGCACAAAGCAGGGCCAGCTTAGATCGTTTCAGTTAGGGTTATGTTTTGAATATTTCCAAGGACAGTGATACAGTAGCCCATTTCAGTGTTTGCCCTCACCATGAATTTCTTTCCTTCATATCCATTCAGACTTTGTAGTTATTGTGCATTATCTATTGTCTTTTTCATTTTGCACTGCCAAGAATAGTCCAGCTTAATCCTTTTTGTTGTCTTTCCTTTAGGAAAACAGCAGTTAGATCCCTTCTTGGCTGCAGCCCTTTAGTGCTTTTGCCACCAGTAAATTCATTTCAGTCATTGTACTGGGCTGAAGAGCCCAGAGGAGCACTCCAGATACTCTCACAAGTGCTAAAAAGGGAGAACAATCACATCCCTTAATCTGCAGGCTTCACTGTCAAGCTTCAGATTACTGTTGATTTTCTACCTATTTTTGAATGCAGCTGTCTGAGTCATATCTTTCAATTTTATCTATAAAGATACTAAGGAAATTTTGCTGAAAGACTTCATAAAATCAAGATAAACTATGACTCTGCTGTCCCCTAGTTCATGGAGCCAGCCACTGCCTCACAGAAGGCAGTAGTTTGTCAGTGCCTGGTGAATTCCTGCCAGCTAGTGTCAACCTTCTTCTTACTCTTCGTGGGCCTGGACATGGTTTCCAGGAAAAAGTGCTCCATAAACTTGTTGAGACTATCTGAGCTTATTTAGGGGAAGATGAGTGTGGTTTTCACCTGTTTCCTGTAATCAGGATGGGCATGACCTGTCAAAGACTATAGATCATGGCCTTCATGGGGCACCAGTGAGTTATGTGGTCCTGCAATGCATCCCATGTGGCCACATGCAGATTTTGTGTATTTCTGGTTGGCCTGTGTGGTACCTCAGCCAGTATGATCTCTGCTGTAGATAGTCCTTTGCTTGCCCAGGTTCTGACACTGAACTCAGGAAAGCTACTGGCTACTCCAGGCCATCAATCAGAGATGGCAGAGACACGCAGATGCTTTGTGTGGAGAGACTAGTTTGAATGTTAGCAAGCAGGTTTAGAGCTACATCTCTGCAGTGACAGATCTTCCCAAGAAGCAGAGAATTGGGCAGAACTTGATGCAATACAGGAATTTACTTACTCATTGGAAATCAGTCCAGTAAGCAAGGGCTTGCCTGCAAGGATGCAGTGGGAAGTTCTGTTAGAAAGCATTCTACATTTCTTTTATCTTGACTGAGTAGCCTCGAAGTTTTTCAAAATCTGTTTTTAAAATGTCATTTGTTCTCTTTAAAAACTTTTTTTTTCTTGAAGTGTGCACCGTTAAAGTCAAGGTTGTGGCAAGTCCACCTCAAAGCTCTTGCCCCCAAAGTAGCACATTTTCCATCTTTGCTGTTTCTTTAATGTAAACTCAGAGGGCTGTGCTTGTAAGCACAGTTGAAGCAGAGGAGCCAGCTCACAGAGGAGCTGCAGTGGACTTCTGGTTGCCATAAATTGGTATGGCTGGACAGTATGTTCTTTGGCACTTAAGATTTAATACCAAGATTAGTCTTGTTTGAGGCCAATGAAAAATTACTTTTCCAGTTCATATTACAGTTTATATTAACTGGAATTAACTGGTATTCATAGGAATAAAATTTACCTGTTATGATGCCTAACATAGTGTTTATAAGTCTGAGGTGTTGAGTTGACAAAATATCAACAAAATGTTATTATGGTGTTTTTGTTGGACTACTGAATTACCTTGCTTATCACAAGCTAGGGATTTTTTTTTTCTTTGTTTCTGAGATGACTTCAGGGAATAATGCATTACATTTCTCACACACTCTAAAAATAGTACAGATATTGCAAGATTGGCTGATTCAGTTTGATGTTGGACCTGCTGTGAATACTTTGTGAGCATTTCTGATGAAAGTAGGTGCCAGCAGTCACAATCTTGAATAATAATGCAATCAGTATATAGTGTCCTTCTGTGTGTCTCTAAATAAGCTGAATTCATCTGGAAATTTTTGTAATGGGACCACATTTCCAATTGTGCTGGGAACAATTTTGAACTGTTAAGATCATGAAAGTATTTGCTTTGATTTATTAGCAGCTAAAACAACCAAGAGCTGTTGTGTAACATCAAATTTCAACTCAGTTTTAAGAAGCTGAAGCCAATGTCTTTTAACACCTGTCTTTAAATTTCACTGCTGTTATAAGCAGTATGAAATTCTAAGTTTCAGTTAATAAGGAATAATATGACAGCTCTTGGAAAATTTTAAGTAGTTTTACTTTGGCTCTCTCTAAGGAGAATTGTCTGTTTATACAGAGATTCTTGTATGGATAAAATATACATAGCCATTAGTATAATTGATTCCTTTGGGAGTTTTCTTCTCTGTTACTGCATTGGGTAGTCAATTACATCAGAGTAGAAAAGATTTTACTATTTATCAGAGACATTTTACATAAACCTATTTACATAGTGAGCCATTATGTCAGTTTTTCTGGGAAAAAAATCAGTTTGCTAATGATTTTTAGGTTAAAACAAACTCTTTGTCTCTGTTCAGGAGATAGTCTTAGGATTTTTGGGAGCTTTTATCTTACATTCAGCTAACATGTTTTTGGAGCAATGCATCAGCTGGTCTATGATTATCCCTATACAGAGAAGAACTGAAAATTTAACATATTTTTGAAAAGATTTTACTTTACTTGAAAAGGAATTTGGGTTTCTGTGTTCTGATTCTCTTCTTTCCATCCTCCATACCACCAAATACATCAGTACCAGTCTGTTTTGAGGAAAAAACACATGAATGTTGCTCTTGCTTTGGAGCTACTGTTAAGACGCACCACAGAGATGGGGTAACTGAGATTTTTTTTAATATATCCCTTGGGGCGGAATAAAGTGAAACAAATGACAGGTATATATATAAATGTGTGTGTGTGGGTGTGTGGGTATATATATTTTAGAACAATTGGGTTGCAATAGAAATGTAGCCATTTTGGTTGTTATCTATGGTAATATGACATTATAAAAGCATGAAAATATCACTGAAGAAAATTACGAGGAAGAGAAAGAAATTATTAGAGTAGCTAGCAGAGAGGAAAGATATCATCACCCATCATTTTTGCCATTCAGGAGCACTTTGCACCTCAGATGTCCATTGGTTGAAGTGATGGTCACAGTTTTGATCTGTCAGGGGTGGGGCAAGCCATGAAACAAACACTTCAAGGGTTAATATAGGCTCAGGTTCAGGTGGAAATGCCCAGGTACCTCCCCTGTGGGGGGAAGTTTTCACACTTTGGATCATGTGCACTCCTCAGCACGTGTGGTCACAGCACCAAGCCTGACAGAGTTCAAAAAGTGTTTGGGCAGTGCTCTCAGGCACATGGTGTGATCCTTGGGGATGGTGCTGTGCAGGGCTAAGAGGTCATCTTGATGATCCTTTGGGTCCCTTCCAACTCAGCATATTCCTTGATTCTGCAATTTGAAATAGGAGATAGGTGTAGTTGTATAGATGCTTTCAGTGATAGCTGTCTGATAGAAGTTCTTTTGAGGTTGGCTTAAGTATGACAAAACAAACTCCAGATTGTGTAAGGATTTCCAAAGTCAGGTCACTGCTGGGTAGAGGAGTTCTAAAGCCCTCCAGGAAGCTGTGGAAAGTAGCTTCTTAATAAGGCACTCTGAAAGAAGTCAGCAAAGCTTTTGCAGAATAAACTTTGACTATTAAAAGCTATTGAACATAATTAAGGGAACCAAAAAGGTTGCAAAGTGTAGTCAAAATTCACATACAGAATTTTATTAGACTTGTGAAACATGGGAAAGCCTTGAGTAAGGTGGATTCAGAGGACAAATACTAGGAAACTGAATTTTCTAAAGGATTACTTACATAAATATAATGGCTTGGTATCACTCTGTTCCACTCAAATATAAAAGATTACTCACTGTTTCAGGGTATTAGAGTACAGATGATTTATGTGTAGTCTACGTATATTTTCAAAGATATTCCACAGCCAATGTCTTAAAATAGCTACCACTGATACCATGGCAACACAGGAAAACACTTCCAAGCAACAGATCAAAAAGCTTAATTTCCTTCCTAAGGCATCTTTAGATATTGCTGCATAGGGAACCTTTCCATTTATTTGTGACACAGCTAACTAGTCACTAAACCCCAGATGTTTTCTATAAAAATTGATTCTGAAAAAAATATGAAACTTGAAAAAATACTAACAAAGTAAGCTTTACAGATGTTAAATGGCAGTATTACCTATTGAAGTTATTATGGTATTTTTCATTAATTAGTGTAGCAAGAATATATTAAAACCTGAAACCATCTTATATTTGTACTTTTCTCAGTGTGTACAAAGTATGAGGTTAGAATCGAGAATGCCAAAGTTTTAATGCACATAATTAAAACATACTCTAGGTTTGGGTGTTGGAAATTATTTTGGTGACAGCTGATTCTGTTTCCTGGAATTAGAGAGCATTTTTCTTCCCCACTGTCCTCTGCTTCCCCCAGCAAAATCCTGCTTAGTCAGGGGACTTTTTTTGAAAAATACAAACTCAAGGAACAGTGAATTACATGGCCAAGGAAGATTTAGTCTTTTCCATGAAGGAAAAAGGCAAGTTAGTAGTTATCTGTTTTTTTGGGAATAACAGAAGTAGACTGAAAATCTACAATGTTGTGGAAGATAGAGGCTATGCAGGATCTGAAAAAGGTTATTTGTGTTTTAGTACAACTTTGATGAAGTTCACAAGATATATACAAACACACAAAGTAGGGTGTATATGAAAAAAAACTGAGGAGGGTAATAAAGATTAATTTCCACTGAAAAATCTCAGAAGAAAAAATGCCATTTCAATCCATTGAATTACATAATCAGCCAAAAGCAGCAATTAGGTTTAGGGTTGGGATTCAGAGATTCTGACAAAGCTTACAGCTCCAGGGACACCAGGGCAGGAAAAGGCATGCCAAGGGGAGCACGATGCTGCACCAACATTGCTGGCTCCACAGCTTCCTGATCTGGCTCATCCCATGGAACTTAAGTCAGGCTTATTTTTGCCAGTAACATTAAAGCTTGTTGGTCCTGTTGTTTTATAATGACCATATCTTACTGTAAAGCTCTGTGAAGTAAAATTTGAATATTAGCGCACTAAAAATGGCAGTATTCTTAGAAATGCAAATTGATGGATGGACTAATACTAAAGGTATTGGAGAAGCTTGTCCCATTCTCTTGAACTTCCTTGTTATCATTTATGCACATACAGAGTTGGCAAATGTGAAAAGGATTTTATGAAAAAAGGATTTTCATAGAAGGAATTCTGATTGGCTACTCTGTAGTGAATTATAATGTGGTTGCCTCATGCATTGTTGGACACTTGAGCTATTTCCTGTGAAATGTTCCATGGAATACTTAAAATATACCTAAAATGTTTCTTGAATATTTTTTGAGATTTATACACTTTAGAACTGCTGTTGTGATAGATATAAGCACAATATATATGAGGTATATAGTATTAAGTATATCTGAAATAATTGCAGGCATTAAAACAAATTCCAGTTTTTTAAAATGTAGCTTGTAAATATATGAACTTTATAGCAAAACGTTAATCCTAAAATTTTTTAAAGTGTGCTTGAGAGCAGACTGGATGTGAAAAAATAAGTAGAACTTAAAGCAATATTGTAGATGTGTGATCAGCTTTTGATATATGTGAAAAATTTATTTGTAACTTGAAGCATTAGTTTCCCTCTCTTTTCCTTCTACTTTACAGTTTCAATAATTTAAAAGAAGATGATGTTTTGACTGATAATCTTTTCCAAAGGTTATCTGAATTATGCATGAACAGTGCACTGATACTGAGATTGTAGCTGACAGGGTAGTAACTTTAACTTGAATGAATGATTAGTTTGCCTGGAGGACAGGGTATAAATTGGAAGAGATTTGCTTGAAAAGATCAAGGATTTAATCTTTCTAACTCAGTTTGCAAATTTTTATTTTGAAATATTTTAACAATGATATTGGAAAGACATACAATAGGAACCATGTCAGTCATTGTTTTCTTGCATTCAATAAGTTCTTACTGACATCCCTGCAGTAGAAATATCCACGTATTCCATGTACTCCATAATTAGACTTGAAGTTAATTAATATTTTAGAGCTTGTCCTGAGGCACTTAAAAATTCTTATTACATTTCTAGTGCTGAAACCACTTGCAATCTGTTTGGTCAAATTTCATCTTTATTTCTAAAAAGTCTTCTTTCTCGTTCTGCTAATCATGCTAATAATTAAAACCCTATTCTACATCATGGTTCTCAAACCAGTATTCAGCCCCTCAGAGCCTCTGGCGTCCCTCAGGGTTAAAAGGAGAGCAAAGTGTGGGGTTGCCTGCAGAGGTTTCTTGCCTGCTTGCTGTTACTCTCTAATGGTCAGCTGAGACTGGGCACTTCTGCCAGAAAGCCAAAGGCTTTCCCTCCTTCCCATGAGTTGTGGGGTGGGTTCTTTATAGTTGTGTTTTTTTTTTTCTTTGCTTGACTTTTATGGAGTGAATTCTACTTATATATCTCTGACTGTTGGTAAATTTTCTGCTGTCTCCTCTTTTTAACCCCATTATATGATTTATTCTGAAATATGCCCCAGTCCCCTTCCTGTGCTAAAAAGCCAGGATCTCGGCCAATTTGTGTTGGTTTTTTTTTAAGAAAGCAGTAAATCTTATTCACTATTCTAAAAATCAGCTGACAATGTGTTAATGAAAACTCTAAACATTTAGAGCTTGTGTATATTTAGACGTGACTATTAAGAACATCTATAAAGTAATCTCTGTACCAGTTTTCCCACATTTGCATTAGGGTTAAACATGAATAATTGTCTTGTTATTCAAAATACAAATGATACTGAAACTGAGCACAGATTGTGAGGCAAATGCTTCTTGGTGTTTTGAAGAAACAGCAAGAGTCTTTGCAGCTGCTCTTTTCTGGAAAACAAACATTCTGCCTTACAGCAGAATGTTGTTTCAGAACTAGAATAAACAAATACATATTGTTCTGTGTGATGTTTGAAAGACGTTTGGGATAGAATAAGAAGACAATGAGAAGTGGTACGGAAGCCCTGCTGCATGGAATGACTGCTTGGCCTACATCTTGTGATTCATGGCATGGTGTAGGTTGCTATGAGTATCTGCAGGCTTTTCTCTTGTCCCTTTGACTGTTTTTTTAGTGGATTTTTGTAAAGGGCACTCACTTAAAATTGTTTTGGAAAATGTGAAATTATCAGCAATTCAGCATAAACCAAAAACATCTGTTGCAGGGAAAACATGTTTTTTGTAGCACCACCACAAGTTTTGGTACTGGATGAGAGTAGTTAAGTGTTTCTACTACATTACCTACTGTTCATCTTGCTGAATCCATTGTGTAGTCTGTAAGAGGAAAAGCTGTGCCTTTGTTTTTTTCCTCCATATTGCAGAATGCCACGACCAAGTCTGGGGATTTCCCATGTGTCAGTACTTGAAGGACAAAGGCTGGTGCTGTGGTCGCAATGCTCGGATGTCAGCATGCTTGGTATGATTCCCCCTCCTTTCTTTTTCTACTGAGAGCTTTGTCCAGATGTTACAGGATTCATTGTTTTTGGCTTCTGATCCTGAAGCCATGACTTTAATCCAAGAATCTACAGGACAACATCATTAATGTTGTAAGCATGATGAATTATATCTAAAAAAATATAGTATTGACCTTCCAACTTTATAAATTTTATACTTGCTGGAGGCATGAAAAAATGAGTATTGATAGAAATGTATTTTAAGAGTGGACAGAAAGGCCAAAGCTTTGCTGAAACCTAAACAAGGTAACCCCTCAGGATTATAGTTCTTGGCCAAGGACTTAGGGAGAAACAAGGTAATTTTAGAAGGATTGCAATCAGTAACTCCCTCAATGCCTTCATGATTCATGATATTGAATGTTCTAGCTGTTTAAAACCTGAACAACCCTGCCTATTCCAAAAACTAGAGGAGCTCCAAAAATCCATGTAGTTTAAGAGTCTGGAAACTTCTTTTTAACATTGCACCAAGAGAAGAAGTACTTTTTTAAAGACTTAGCCTCATCAAGATAGAATGATGAGCTGTTGTCTAATTTGAAAAAACAGGTAGGTACTGAAAATTTTCACCACTGTTTCAGTTAGAAGACTACTATTCCTTCCCTCTATTAATTTTTAATTTATGGTACCCAGATAAATCACATCAGGTTCTAGCTAAGCTCTGCTGCTAGGTCTGTACTTCCATTACAGAGAAGAGTGTAGACTAAAGACTCAGTGTGGACTAATGTATTGAGGTTATGTAAACTTGAACTACCATGATAATTAAATGCTGTCAGGAGAAAATATAGGAGGACAGTTGTTAAGGATCCATAAGGCTTAAATGTGTTACCCTTGGCAAAGTAAAGGAAAAGAATTGTTCATTTTAGAGATGTAGCTGTAAAACTCAGCAGAAGTGCTTTCCAAAGGGATTTGCCTTTTCTCTTTTTCTTGTCAATGTCATACAATACCAGTCCTTCCTCAGCTGACACATTAGTTGTTTCCTATTCCATTTCTTTTGGAAATAAAAAGGTTGGGCTGTTTCTCGGCAGTGGTAGGAAGATAAATTTTAAAAGCAAATGGCCCCCAAGAGAGTACTGATCTTCCTGTATATATCTATTTTAGATTTCTCACAAATCACAGAAATTTGGCGATTAAAAACTTTTTGTTTGAATATTCACAAAAGGCAAAGAGTTCTCCTGTGTAACTAGATACTTCTCCTGTTATGTTTGTAGTTGTCCATATGCATTTTCATGACTAGGATTTTCCTTGCCATGTAGGATGTACAAGGGAGCCAGCACAGAGCCACTGAGCACCCACATTTCTTGGGCTAATGGCTGGTTAGCAGAAAGTCTGCTGAGCAATGACGTTCAGAGTTCAAACAGGTTGAATTGCCAAGGGCCAGAGGTGTTGGGCAAGAGTTTCCAGCTTCAGAGCCTTACAACAATATATCTTGGAAGCCATATCCATCTCCTCAGCAGCAGCAGATGGATGCTGCTGTAAGAGCTTATGCAGCAGAAGGCAAACCTGATAGTTGGCCAAAGCCATGAATGGAGGAGCTGCAGCTATGTGGACTTTGTTTGAAGAGCAGTGTGAAATACCAGATCAGTTCTACCACAAGGAGCAGGAAGTATGGGTGATTGTGTAACAGGCAGTCTTATTTACTGTAGTGAAGTTTGGGAATAAAGGTGATAATAATCTGTAAATGATGAGACATTTTTGGTTTGCTACCTATTTTGATGTAGCATCAGATAATCAAATACTGAGGTTTTGTCTTCATTTCTGCTATGATCTTTAAAACTCTGCTGAAAATTTTGTGGGCACACTATCTTTTCAACTGTAAAGGAGTATTACATGCTTCTAAATATCTGTTGTTCTTTATCACTATGCATGATAAAAATCAAGTAGTCTCACATCTACATCAGCATTTATAGTATGAAGACTCTAGTGAAAAATAATTTACAGTATTTTAAACTGCAGTCTCTGTGAAGTTACTTTATTTGCCTGTATATCAGCAGTCTGAGTAGTAGTGATTAAAACTAATATTATCCATTGAACTAGTATTTACTTTTAAATAATTAAATATGCAAAATGTATTATTTGTACTTCAGTAGAAATATATTCAAGAAAAATGCATTTGCTTTTAACACTTTCACAGAAAGTAATCCTCTGAAACTCTTGTACAATAGAAAGAAAAACAAGCCAATTTTCCATGTATATATTTCCACACAGTTGGATGTCATTGCTTCTCCTATAAATAAACCAAAATAACAGGAGTAGCTGCTTATGAGTGCCTAAAGGTATTAACACTTTAAAGTGTGCAAGCTCATGTTATGTCACACCATTAATCTTTTTAAATGTCATCTCCTCTGACTTTTATACAATGTGTTTATATAATGTTATGATAAAGAATAAACATATCAGCAATTTAATTCCTTGACTCTTAAAGGCTTTGGAGAGAGTTGCAGTTGGCCAAATGGTAAGTAATACTGTTTATTTTAGCCATTCTAAGATAAAATGTGTTTTTCCCCCTTGAATGTTCTTAGTCCATGGCCTTTTATTGAACTTCTGCATATCTGGAATCTGAAATACTGGCCTACACTATGTCAAATCCTGATAGATAGCATGTGTCATCACAAAATCACATTTTTACTGCTGTGCTTGTACTTAGTGAATCTGTTTTCTTTTTACAATTAAGAGTCAGAGAAAAAAAAAGCACAGTTTAAAATTAAAAGGCATCAAACTACCCTTCCTAACTTCCTTTGCTATCTTTCAGCTAATGCATAAATTCAGTGCAAATGTCCTTCTTATATTCCTGGTTTGGATCACTCTATCCCAATGTTTTATCAACTAAAGTAAAAATAGACAATGTTATGACAAAAGCTTGAACCTGTTAGAAACATCATCATTCTCATTTTTAATCCCTGTATATTTTTTGTCTGTGAATATTTTGATTTATTGTTGTGCAAGTTATCCTTAAGGGATGGTGGGCACCAACTGTGCAAGTATGTAAAAGGCCAGACTGAAAGACTTCTTTTCATATTCAGTAAGCCCACTGACCCCAGCAGTTTTTTTCTGTGTATTTTTAATTGGCAATCCTTAACTGGTTTTATGCAAACATATTTTCCATAGACAAATGTATGAAATTCTTAGCATTATTTTTTTTAGCATAGTACTTTCTACATGGTTCAGACTGCAGTCTGATTGCAGATCATTCAGCTAGGTAATTACTTCTTTTGTCTTCAAAACAACGTAGATAATTGTTGTTTATTTTGCATATTAGAATTCAGATCATGAACAGTGCATTTTCCTCTGTTGTCTTTCTTTCCATCAAGAGAGTTTGGATTTGTTGTTTTTTTTTCTTTCTTGCATTTATGGTTATGTTAGAATCTGACTTAAAAACATCATTTTAACTGGATGCAAGAACATTAGTAAATTATCCTCTTAAATCTGGTATGACCAGTTGTAAAGTATATAACTCAATAAATAGTTAGGGAAGCCAATACTGATTTTGTTACTCTGATCCTAATTTCAGTGCCAATTTTAAATCCTTGCTGTTGTAAAACTTTTTGCAGCTGCCTACAGAATCATTGTTTTATCGAGCTGTTCTTCAGGTTATTATAGAAGAAATTTATGGTGTCACCAAAAGGTAGGAAGCTCTGAATTCACAGAATACTAACCAAAGATTGATCTGATTCTCTTCCATCTCTGTGTTGTATAGAAAGTATGTTTTGGAGAGCAGAGGGACATAGGAATCAGTCTCATCAGGTTGTACATACACATTGGTATTAAAATGCAAGATAGATTTGCTCATCCTCAATCCACATCACAAATGTATTGCCCTTCCTTTACCTGTAGCTGAAATAGGCCCCCTTTGGTACTGGTACACAGGTAAAGCACATCTTCACCTGAGAACACTCAGCAAATGCACTGAAAAGTCAGCGCAGTCCTGGGCTACCCTGTCATGCCGGAAGTCCTGGCAGCTTTGATAGTGCAGATGGAAAAAGGCATTTCTGTTTGTCCTGAGTAAAACTGCTGACAGCTTGATGGCCATCATGGCTCTAAAGAGCTACTCACTGCCTGTGCCTACACTGGCAAATGCTGCTTCCTTGTAGGAATGGGATTTGGAGAGCTGCTGCTGAGGATCTGACATCTATATTATACTCTTCTGTGGTTGCAGTTGGATTAGATTTTATCTTATTCGGTGGGATGTATGCCTGTTAGCACTTGGAGTACATCCAGAAGCACACCTTCCAGTTTAATTTAGTTTGAAAATAACCCATTTTTTGAGCTCTGATACTATTTCACGGTGTGAGCCAAGGCATGAGAGGTGGGAAAAACCAGAAAATTCACTTCAGAAGTATACTCCTGATCTAAAATAAGTGCTAATGCAAATACTCTTAAAACTTTTGCTGGATGTAGAGTCAGTCAGACAGCTTACCCTTCAGAAGGTCAAATTCCTGAAAGAAGAAATGCTTCTTTATTTTAAAATTGCATACAATATCACAAAAAAATTCATGGCTGCTAATTGCAGAGAAAAGAAAAACTGTGTGGTAGATTTTTCAATTTTTGAAGGAAGTATAATTTGGAGGAAATAATTAAGATTATATGTCTGTAATGAACACAATGGCTACCTTGGAAAGACCTGTCTCACTCCCATGTTTTGGGTTTTTTTCTGAGCAAGATGTTTAATGCCCATCTTCCTAGGAATGATGTAACAACACAATTATTAACTGATTCTCAGTCTGCATCAGCCTAAATGTTTAGGTGCATTTGAATATTAAATATGACAGCAAAAATTCTTTTCAATGAATGAGGGTCCTTGACAGCTAAACAGCATTAGAACTGCCACTGAGTGAAATCTTTTGAAATCTTTCAATTGGCTTCAGGTATTAGTTCTGGGTTTTAGGTAAGGAGATAGGTTTTACTAAGAACAAAGAGGGAGAAAAGTAAGATACCAAGATACTTCTGTTCAGTTTTTCACTGAGAGGGTGCGGGGAGAGTGTATTTCTTGTTAAGTTATTCAGTAGCTGAAAATTCTGTACCTGAGTATACCCTACTCTAGAAGAGAAATGTTAGACTCAGTCAAGAAAGTGAATTCAGACTTAAAAAAAAAAAACTTTGTATGTTTTTTCTCCAAGATATTTTAAGCACAGAGAAGAGAGCAAATATGAATGGTCTGCTAGGATTCCTTCTTCCTATATGTTTTTTTAAGTTTTTGTGAATTATTTTAGTGTATTTTTTGAAACAACACACATTTTTGTCTGGCTTGAAGTGCAAGCTATTGAGTTGTGAACAGGACAGAGTTCTGGCATCATTTAGTGCAATAAAAATTGAAAGGATAAGAACACCAGGTAACAAGCAAAAGTGACATTTTTTCAGTTCAGTGGTTGCTATTAAATAAATTACAGCAGGATCATGGTAGATTATGGAAGTAATTTAGAAGTATAGAAGGAAATGTGTCATTGGAAATAATAATTTTGTCATTCATATAAGAAAATAAAAAATGTTAGTGAAGAAATTAAAAAGAAACTTCAACTCTCTCAGGGTTTTAGGTAAAATAATAACTGTATTATAACCATTATACAATTACACAGTTGCTGTGTCTAGAAGTTACTTCAAGTATTAGCTAGATTGTTTTAAGTGGAAGGAGGAAAAAAAAAAGTTGTTACTAACTTGGCAGTAGTAGCCATCCAACTGATTCATTTCTCCTGTTAAAAATATCTGAATTTTATTGTTGGATGTATAAAAGCCTACACCTCAGTATTGTGTTTGCAGTGATCGACATGTTGGAAAAACCTTCTCCAAATCATCCTCCTTCATAGATTATGTCAGACGCTCTCTGAAAAAGCTGGAACTGGATGATTCAAAGGTGAGTCACTAGTGACTGTAGGAAATTGTTATATCCATATAATTTCTTAAGTCAGCACCACAATGCAGTGTTTGAGCCATTGAGTTGATTTATGTCATATATTGCTGTGTGAACATTATATTTGAAGACTTAATACCTTTAAATTAGTAAATGTTAAGGAAACAGATGAAGATTTTAAATCAATTTGTTAGAGAAAAAAAAGTAAATATGAAGTAGAGATTTAAAATAATTTTGAGATTTTATTTATGTCCCTGAGTATCTTGTCTTAGTCCTACAACTGCTCAATTGGTCAACAGATGGCAACATAGCATTAGGCACAGAATATGACTGTGTGAAGATCACAACCATGTTGTGAGAACAAGTGGTGCAAAGGAGACACTCGAGAGTACTAGACAGATTGTTAACAAATTAAGTACAATCAAAGGAAAAGTGGGAGTGGCAAGCATGTAAAATATTTAAGGTAAATGTTGTTGCAGTCTCTGGTAATGTTTAAAACCTGTAGTCAAAATGTCAAATCACTTAAAATCTGCCAGGCACATCAAAGCATGAGCTAGGAGAAACAGGCAAAACCAAATAAGCGAGTAAATTCAAATGACATTGGAATCATCCTGACAGCATTAAGAAAAAGACTTATGCCTGAAGTGTGCTGTATTTTAAAAGGATTATATTTAATTCTGTAGTTAGCTAATCACAACTAGAGAATGTAGTTACCTGTTTGCTTTTCTGTATGAATAGTACTAACAAGATGCATTCACCCCAGCTAGAAATAAAATTATGTCTTTCTTCATCTGTGTACAGTCACCCAAAAGCAATAGTGGACTGTTTGTGTAATAATCAGTTCACAAGAGCATTGATTGAACTCTGCTAATGCAGATTTGTTCACTGTTTTCTTTAAAACCAGTAAGCATAGAAAGTTTATGTCAAGAGGTCTGATTTTAGATATGTTGCCTTTTTCTAAGAAGGGTCTGGACAAATGCAGGTTGCCCTGAGACAAAGATGTCTGTCAACACTACTTCAAGCTACTCATTTATGTGGTTGCTAAAGACCTGATTCAAATAAATGCTTACTTTTGCTCATGTTTCTTCTCATTTTATGTGCAGCTGGCTGCATACTGAAGACTGGATTTTATGCTGATGTAAACAATATTATTTTTTATTTCCCAGCTATATTGAAATCTGCAGCAGCACAAAACCAGTGCTATTTTGGTACTACTGAGAGGAAAGTTGTTACTTCTCCCTTAACACTGGTTCTGACCCTGCAGTTTTCATGGTGGAGTCAGCACTGTATCTACACAATATTGGAGAATGTGTTAAATGCCTCTCTTCTGAAAAAAAAATACTTACATAGCTAGAAATGTGATGAAGCCTAAACATTTGATCTGAAAGACAACAAAATCAAAGAGAAATTTATGTGGAATTTGGGTTTTTAGCTCTATTTAGAAATGAACAAAGGAGCAGCTGTACTGCACAGACCAAATGTGTACTTTGTCTCTGGCAGTGGACAAAAACCAATGCATTGGGAAGAATATAAGGTGGGAGCAAGCATATATGAAGCACACTTCCAAAATAATCAAAAATGTCCTTGTCATTCACCAAAAAAAAAGAGAGGCAATCATTTTCTTAATGCATAAATGTATTTAGGTTATATTTAAAAAGCAGCTAAAACTTAGTGACATTGTGTAATACAACCAGAGAACTATGAGAAAAAATTGTTTCCATATGGGTCTCTGTTTCACATGTGCAAAGATGTTTTCTAAAATACAGAAGTCAAGAAACTGTGAATCTCCAGTCTTTTACTAGGCTTATCAGAATATTAAACAGAATTTAATCTCTGTATGATAATAAAAGTACTGGAAAGGAAAATAGGAGGAGTAGAGGCACTGTTTTTAGGAGTCCCTGCCAGGGTTTGGTAGCTTGTCATGTATGGTAAAATCTTGCATGGTTTTTATCACTGAAGCTGAATCTGTACTGTGGGATGTAAACACTCTTCTAAACTTAATGGTTCATGATAAGCCTCACAGCTGCTTCCTTTATACACACCAATACCTCTGTTTCTGATCAAAAGGTAGCCCTGGGCAATCCAGTAATTTTCCAGTGTGGACAGTTGTGGAGGCAGGATAAAGAGTGCAAGTATACAGAACACCTAACCTGCCTTGATACTCATTTTTGTAAGTGTGTGCCCTTTGCTAAATGTTACACTGGTAAAGACTCACCAGGCATAATTATCCAAATACTAAGGTTTTTTTGGCTGTTGATTTTAAGTAAAGGTAAGTTCTTGAATCCTGCCAATAATTCATGTGAAGAAACCCCTCTGTGTCTTTCCTTTTATGAAAGTGAAATAGATATGAAGTTTTTGCTTATGTGAAGCAAGAATTAGACTCTTTATAAAAAGAGTCTCAGTCAGAAATGAGTTCGAGTGAGACAACATAGTATAACAGTTTCTCTACCAAAAAAAAAAAGGCATTTATCAATAACCTAGTACCATTCACTGTTAAGAATTACTGTTCAAGGGCTGAAGTTTCCTATTAAGTGAGCCAAAATAATTTCCTCCATCCATGGTGTTTCTTTTTTAGTGTGGGAGAGTGTGTCAATTAAACACGTAGATGCAAATGAAATCCTTTTTTCTGTCTTGGTACAGGACCATTCCCTTCACATATCACTTCAGTAGTAAAAATGAGGTTTGAACCATGACTACTGAATTTCTGACAAAACATTCTCATTCTGTGAGGGCAGGGAAAGGTCTTGTAGTGTGAGCATGATGCTTCACAGGTATGGTTATATTGCTTATAGCTTCAGAATTAATGGAATTGCTCTCTGAGCTATGGATCATAAAATGATGTTAATGATCATCTAGTTCCAACCCCCCTGCTGTGGGCAGGGACACCTTTCACTGGTTGCTGAAAGCCCCATCCAGCCTGGCTTTGCACATTGCCAGAGATGGGGGCATCCACAGCTTCTCTGCACAACCTGTGCCATGTCTCAGCACCCCCATAGTGAAGGATTTCTTCCTTATGTAATCTAAACCTATCCTCATTCATTTGAAAGGCATTTCTCCTTGTCCTGTCACTACATGCCTTTGTGAAAAGTGCCTCTCCACCTGTCTTGTAGGTCCCCTTTAGGTGCTTTTAGGTCTCCTTGGAGCCTTCATTTCTCCAGGCTGCACAGCCCCAGCCCTCTTAGCCTGCTGGCCACAACTCTTTTAGTGCAGCCATTCTGCAAATTCCTTACCCACCCAGTGCTCTCCAGTTTAGAGACGAGGATGTCATGTGGCACAATGGGAAATGTTTTGCACAAGTCCAGCTAATGATGTCAGTTGCTCTTTCCTTATCTACAAATGCTGTAACCCCTTCATAGAAGGCCACCAGATTTGAAGGCACAATTTGCTATCAATGACCTTGTTGGTGTCACCAATCACCTCTTTATTTTCTATGTGTCATAGCACAGTTTTCAGGAGGATCTGATGCATGATCTTAGGCATCAAGGTGAGACTGACTGACCTGTAGTTACCCAGGCCTTCGGTTTTTTCCTTTTTGAAAATGACTTATGGATTATGTTCCCCTTTTTCCATGGGAACTTTACTAGGCTGACATGACTTCTCAAATATGCTGGATAGTGTTTTAGCAACTTCTGCCAGTTCCTCGAGGGCCTACAGATGTATCTCATCAGGTCCTATGGACTTGTGCATCTTCAGGCTCCTAAGATGTTCTTGAGCCTCATCTTCTCCTACAGTGAGCAGTTCTTCATCAGTCCTTGCCTTTGTATTCTGAAGCTGAGGGGGTGTGGCTGAAATTCTTGCTGGTGAAGACTCAGTCAAAAAAAAGTTATCGCAGCATTCTCCATAAGCCGTGTAACCAGTCTCCTGTTCTGGAGAGTGTGCGCATGTACCTATAAAAGCTCTACTTGTTGCTCTTGATGTCAGTCAAGTTTAATTCTATGAGAGCTTTGTCTTTCCTAACCTGATCCCTTGGTGCTTGGACAATATCTCTGTGTTCCTCCCCGGCTACTTCCTGTTGCTTCCACTCTTGATAGCCTTCCCTTTTGCTGTTTAGTTTGGCTAGAAGATCATTGTTCCTCCCTGCTGCCCTCATGGTATTTTTGCCTTACTTCCTCTTTAAGCTTGAAGTATTAACCAGCTTTAATGGATCTCTTTTCCCTCCAGGGCTTTATGCCATGGTACTCTGTCAAGCTGATCCCAGAAGTTTGGCCTCCTGAAGTCCAGGATATTTAGTTTACTGTGTGCTCTTCTTGCTGCCCCAAGGAATTCCACCATTTCATGGTCACTGCAGTCAGGGCTTCCCCTTGAGCTTCACATTCCCCACCAGGCATTCCTTATTGGTGATAATTGAGAGCATTGGCTCCCCATTCCTTCTATGGGAAGGAAGTACTCATCAATGCATTCCAGGAACCTCCTGGTTGCTTATGCCCTGCTGTGTTGTCCCTCCAGCAGATACTGGTGTGGTTGAAGTGCCCCATGAGGACAAGGGCTTGTGAAAGTGAGGCTGCTCCTTTGTGCTTGTAGAGGGCCATATCTAGGGATGTCTGCACAGGGCTGCAGTAATTGGATACATACCAAAGCAGTATTTTTTTCCTGATTGTTTTCTTTGTCATAGTTCACTCTGTTCCTACAGACTCTGTGTTGTACAGACAGAGCATTAAGGGTCACATAGATTTTGGAGACATTCTTTCTATCCCAAGATTTCTTTTTCCTTTTGTTCACTGTTTTACCTAATTAATGTGAATGGAGAACTCTCTTTTGGGAGAATGGAGCATTCATCCCTGTCCTCTCTCCTAGAGTAGCTGGCCCCTCTGGTACTTGTTAGCCTTTTTGCTTTCAAGCAACAAGAGCAATTCCTTCCTCTTCAGCTCAGAACATGTTTCAGCTGTTTAGAGCTGCTTTGCAAATGCATTTAAAATGAAGCCTCTTTATTAACAGCTCTGATTGCTACTTAAGGCAATAAGTGCTACAAATAGCATTTCCAAGGCAAAAAGTCCTCATATAAG